ACATCCCTGCCCTTTAAGAATCACCTCTCCATCAGAGAGAAGCCAGAAAGGCAAATAAGCTGAAACCATGCTGAATACACAGAAGGAATTGTCAGGAAGTGAAGAGAGATTTATCCTCATGTTTACTTGTCTTAAGAGCTATTTCCCTGTTAAGAAAGGTCATCCTTCATACGTGCTGGATCTGGAAAATCCCAGGATCATATCCGATTGGATATTCACATCACCTCAGTTGTGGGTAACTAAACTCCTCCCTCCCCCCCACGCAAGAAAATTACTGTTTGCATGCTCTCTTGTTCATGCACGAGTGGACTGAAGTGCAAATTCATTCACTTTGAAAATCTCCTTTAGCATAAAAATTGGTTTGGGATAAAAGGCATTAAATCATAGAAAGAAATAGCATACATTTAGATTGGGGTTGTGGTTATTTGTACAACACAGAAACAACCAGCATACGGAGTGCACTGAATGCACACTAAACTGCACTGTGTACACAGTCTTTAGTAACACAGTGAGGATGGTGGCAGTGTTACTTGTCCATAAATTGCACAACCTGTACCTCTCAGCGGTCCTACACCTTGCAAGGAAGGCAAGAGTGTCTGCTCATTACATAAGCTAAAGCCATGAAGCCACACAAACAGCATAAAATAGGTCATAAGATTACAATTGCATCTAAAAAGGCCAGAAATATAGATAGGCCTGGCACCAAAAGATCAATAGGATCCTACCATTAGAACAGAGTGAACACTTAGGGCATTGGGTGGAGGGTGGAAAGCGGTGGTGGGATGTTAGAGGTCAGCTCTGTCTGTGATGATGAAGGCTACTGTCCTGTCACCAGTGTTTAAATAAGATTCCACTGCCAATCATCTTTTCTATGTAGAATCTTTCCTGAGTCAGCAAACTATATTGGGTCTGATCTCTTTGGGGAAAGTGTTCCGTAACTGGGACACCACTACCCAAAAGGCTTTCTAATAGCTTCTCATAGGTACTTGCCTCACCTCAGAGAGTAGAGGAAGTCTTCCAGTGAAGGATACTAGAGCAAGGCTTCAGTTTGTAAGCATATTGATAACAATGCAGTGATTAGTAGAAGCCAGCGTAAAGGTAAAGGGACCCCTGACAATTAAGTCCAGTTGTGAACAACTCTGGGGTTGCAGCGCTCATTTTGCTTTAAAGGCTGAGGGAGCTGGCATTTGTCCGCTTCTGCAGACAGTTTTTCCGGGTCATGTGGCCAGCATGACTAAGCCGCTTCTGGCGAAACCAGAGCAGCGCTCAATAACAAAACCTGCCGGACTAATCATATCTCTTTCTGTGGGAATGATGTGGATGTAATTTATCTTAATTTTCGTAATTTAGACGAAGGGCTAGAGGAGATCCTTGTCAACTTTGCAGATGGCACAAAAAGAGGAGGGATGAGAATAAACTTCGAAATGATAGAATGGAAAACTGGTCAACAAAATCAACAAAACAAAATTCAGCACATAACCTGGGATGAGGTGAGTTAGTGTATGTATAAAGTACAGACTTACAGGTAGGCCTAAAATGAGAAAGGTTTTTTTTCTGTGTATTTATTATTATTTTAGCTGAAGTTTCTTCTCAGCAGCATCCTTCCTATCTTTCAAGCACCATAGGCAAAAGGATAAGTGATTGAAAACAGTGATGGGTTTTTAAGTTGGGGGAGCGTGAATGTTGGCATTGTCTCCTCTCTTCAGAAAATGGGCAAGAAGTGATCTCCTGGTGGCTCTTATACCTTTTGACCATCTATTGCTATAATCCAGCTGAAAAGAACTGTACTTTTCCTAGCAGTTTTTCTTAGAATATTGTTGAGAAAAATGAACACTGTGAAAATATAATTTGTAAGAGACGATGCTCCAGATGGGCAACTGTATAATTCCCTGGTATCTTGTTCCTCTATCTCTTTTTCTGTAATTTTGTAAAATGCAGTTTCAGACCGTAATTCTTTCTTCTTGGTCTGACTCTACTCCTTACACGCTCCACCCCCCACCCCCAGGTTACTGGTCAGTATTGTTAACTTTTCAAATGTATTTTCTGTTCTCAATATTTGAGAGTCTGAACTTGATGATTCTCAAGGGGAATGACAATAATTCTAAAAACAACCTTTTCGTCAAGATGTTATGAACTAAATGTTTCAACAAGAGCTGAAGTAAAATGTTCAGCACTTGCTCCTTGTTTTCTGATCTAACCTACAATTCAACTGCTTTGACATCACCCTAAAATTTATTACTCAAAGTTTATTACATCAAATGCCCACTGTCGGCTTGCAAGGCCACCAAGTGCTTTATTAGAAAGAAAAAAATGTTTTCTTAAGAGCTTACAGATGGCAAGCTGACATTCTGAATGTTTGGTTCAGAAAATAATTAAATAATCCTGATTATTTAACTACAAAAAAGCACGACAAGAAACTTTGTGCCTACCTAGCATACATTTGTATATAAATTATCATAGTTATGAAATGATATGTTTGGGGGCAGGAATAGCACAAGAATAACTCAATATATGCTGGAAAATCTGTATCAGACAGTAATTTTAACTCACCAATAACTAGGAAGACTGTGACTGCAGTCCTATGAAAACTGACTTTAAAATAACCCTCACTGAAATCAGTGAGATGCACTTATGAGTAACCATTTGAAACTGGATTTTTCTTCTAATTTTTCTTTTTAAATAAAGCCATTCTGTGATTCCATTATGCCAGAGTGCTCTTGTGCAAGAGTAAATACCGGTGTAGTGTAAGCATGTTCTTAGCAACAGTTCAACAAGAGCCACAGAAGCATCAGTGAGCGATAGCTCTGCACAGAGCCTCTTCAGATTTTTATGGTGAAGCATATCATGGGCTGGGTCTAGGAAGACTAGATGGGCTCCATTATGTGTCTCCCTCCCATCTGTTGGCAGGATGAGGGTGTAGTTCTTTGAAGAAGGAGATGTAGGTTCTTGTCCTGCCAATTCTTATTTTTCCACTCAAATTTATCATTGGTGGCATGACATCCAGAAGCTGTGCTCTGCTTGTGGAGGTAATCTCACCATCTTCCAGTAGTGGGACTTGCATTCAAATTACCTGCTTCCTACTGCACACTGGGCTCTCCTAGAACTACCAGGCATCTCACTGTGTGCAGTCTTGTGAGATTGCTGTTGGAGTTTACAGTCTTCTTTGTCCATCACCACCATCATCATCATCATCTTATTATTATTATTATTATTATTATTATTATTATTATTAATTGAATTTATATCCTACCCTTCCTCCTCAAGGAGCCCAGGCCAGCAAACGGATATACAATTTAAAAACAAAAACAAAGTAGATCAAAACATTCTAAAAAACAATTACACTTAAAAACATACTTCATCCAGTGACCTCGAGTTTGCCAGAAACATTATTCATTGATTACTGAATGTTCCTCTGGGGAATGTCCCAGTGTTCCTCTTCCTCTGGGGAGTATTCTTTAGAATGTGTGATCTTCCATTGACTCCAAGCTTCATCCAAGGCTAGATCCATCGTTGCAGACCAAGTCCTCAGCAACAGGAGCCCAATCAGTCCCACCATGGAGATCTGAAGCTTGTATTTATCACTCTTCTGAACTGAAATATTTGGAAATGGATCTTGTCAGTTTGTCTGCCTAACTTTCTGCAAGAAAACATATGACTCAAGCTGCGTGCTGAGTGGGGTAATTGGTCCCACAGCAGGACTCAAATGCTTCTTCTGGGGATTGTATGAGCTATGGATTTCATGTATTACCAAGAAGTTCATTTTCACTGGAATTCTACACATGCCTCAGAACCATTTAACGATTCTTCACTGTGTGCATTGGGGTACTTGGAAGCAACAGAGGAGGCAACATTGTTTTCAGCTGAATGACCTCCCACAGCAGCAGCAAGAGCAAGGTGAATAGGCAGATACCTAATTAGTCCCCAGAACCTTGGTATATATCCTTATTCAGCCATTAATTTCCCCTGAAGGTTTCCTCCAGCAAGCATCTTTCATCAGTAATTAGACTGAGTTTGCTAGGAAAGTGCCACTGCCTTTCCCCACAATGGATACCTTAGTCAGCTGGTTGTCAGTTCTCATTGGCCAGGGACCCATCATGACTACCCTGCCATTCAGTGGAGGGAAAGTTGTATTGATACACCTTGCTACAGTACTCAAGTTCATTTGCACTTCATGTCCCTTCTGTCCATGCCCTGTCCTTAAGGTGGATGGATCTAGGAAGCTCCTTTCTTATAACTGTGCATCTTGTAGATGCCCAAATTGTTAAGTCTTTCTCCCACGAGATTGTTCCATGCATCACCTCTCTTCTTTAAGCCTGCTTTACACCAGGTGGATGTGTACAAGAGTGGAATCATCTTTGACTTAGTAGGTTCCTTTTGCTTTCCTTCTCTGCCTGTTTCCATGCCTATAATGTTACTTTCTCTTGGGCCAGTCAGCATCCTTGTAGAAAGCACAGGCTAGCGTATCCCTTAAGGGGAAATTGTTCCATTTTAAAAAATCCTATCAGGGGTTTGTTGTTATGAAACTTTGGCTCAAGGGAAGGAAATTTTAAGACAGTCCAGAAATGGACAGTAAGATAGTTGAAGGTGTGTGATATGACATAGATCATGGTTTCCGTAGTGTACATGATGATTCCAGTTCTGGTCATAGGTTTGGACTACCATCATCCCTGACTGCTGCCCCTGCTGGCAATGGATGATGGGAGTTGTAGTTCAACAACATGTGGGACACCCCACCACCAGGTTGGGAAAGACTGATCCGGAAGGCAACAAATCCTTCATCCCTGCTCTTAAGCATTGTGTGTGGTGGTGGGGTGTGTGGGTGAAGAAGCAGGACAAGCTCTTGGAGGATAAAGAAAAGCAGAAGGGCATCTTGCCCTCAGGCAGCGATCCGTGTTATGGGTCTGAAACCACACGTGCCCCGGTCTCCTCACTTTCAAATCGAGCTGTAGGCCCGGAAACCAACCGGTGCCCATCGGCGCGTGCGCATGCCTTTGGGCGTCATGGTGATGGCAGGCGGCGCTTACTCGGGCGACCGAGAAAGGCAAAGGAAGGCGGCAGCGGCGGCAATGCTGGCTGCTCGTCGCCCAGTCAGAAGGCCGCGTAAGGCCCGGAGGCGGGTGCTCGCCGTCGCTGCCGGGCCGGGGGATACCAAGCGGCCGGCGGACACCGGCCGGGTCGAGCTGCAGCGGGAAGGAGGCGCGGTGCGCCCGGCCCCTTGATACGCGAGGGGACGGCCGTGTGGAGGGCAAGGAGGCCGATACCGCCGCCTCCCGCTAGGCCGGCAGCGAGGGGCTGCTGGGCCGCAGTGACAGTTGCGAGCGCCTTCGCCTCCCCGCCCCCTCCCGCGCGCCCGCGGTGTTTTGCGTGCGTGAGTCTCCGCACGCGCCGCCAGGCAGTTGCTCGGCCGGTTAGTCCAGGGGCCCCGCAGGCGCTGCTGCTGCTGTGCGCGCGCGCGCGCCTTCCCCTCTCCTTCCTGCTCCTCTCCGTCTCCCTCACCCACCGACCTGCCGGCCGGCCGACCGACCCAGCAGCGCCATGCGGCTGTGCGGGGCGCTCCTGAAGAGCCCCATCCCCAAACAGATCGAGTACTACTCCCGCTTCTCCCCGTCGCCGCTCTCCATCAAGCAGTTCCTGGACTTCGGTGAGTGACGACGGAGAGGCACCTGCACGCCGCGCCAAACCAAACAACAAGCGCGGGAGGGCGGGCGCCGCCTACTCCTCCCGCTGCTGCTCTTTCGCTCCTAGCCGTGAGGAACGCGGGGTGGGATGTGGGGCTGCGGGGGGGGGGGCAAGAGAAGGAAGCCCGCTGCGCCGCCCCGGTGTGTTTGTGTGACGTCACTGAATTGCCTTTCGCAAGGCCGGAGGTGGGGCGGGGGGGGGGTGTTGTGGACGGGGCGCCAAAACAAGCGGAAGAATCCGGGTAACTGAGGACCTGAGGGGGGGGGTGGAGGGGCTCTGAGGAGCTTCCCCAAAGGGTCAAGTGCCAGTGGAGAAGGACTGGTGTATAAAACTTATTAGTCGACTGCATTTCAGGAGGAGGGGTGTGTGTGTGTATGTTTTAGGGGTGTATTGAGTTGGTAAATATGGTTAGGAAAGTTAGTGTTCAGCTGCTGAGCAGGCAGAAGCTCAACAGATGGAGCTCCACACACAGGGATGTGAGGAGGAAACACCACCTCTTCATTTCTGTGTGTGGTGCAGCTGTTGCAGGCAAGTTCCCTACCAGGAAAACAAGGGGAGGATCCAGGGAAAAGTTGACCAGTGTCAGTGCCTCAGTCTATTTAAGCATTCATTATATTCTCCCAGCAGCTCAAGGTGGCATATGTAAAGTATGTGGATGATTTCCTGCCCAGGTACTGAACAGCAACCGCATCGCCTGTCTTCAGAACATTCCTTGGGCCAATTCAGATCTTCTGAATTGATTCGCCAAACCATGGCATATTGGGAGCAGGCCCAAAGGCTCATGCTCAAGCCCACAGAAATTTCCAGGTTTTGTCTAATCACAATTTGCCGTGCCATCCTATCTAGACAATTTAATGCTAACTTTGGAACAATAATGCTCACTTCAAAACAAGGTTTCATGATTTAGCAATTTATTTATCTATATGCTTAGCTGTATATCCTGCCTTTTTTCTATCATGGACCCAAAGGCGATGTATAATGTTGTTTTGAGGGCTGTCATCTGTTCAGGCACTGACTGAACACAGACCTCCTTAACTTCAGCGAGGTAGTGACTCTTGTAGTCCCTTCCAACTCTGCAGTTCTGTAATTCTACACCAGTAGTGGGTCACTTTGGCATGTGGGTAGGACTGACAGGTGTCAGTCACCTTATGTCACCATGATTCTGTTAAAAAAGGAAGAATTGGGAGTGTATTCTAAGTGCATTTCCCATTCTTCCTTTGCTGGTGTGGTTTACATCCAGGTTAGGCCTGCAAATGAACTTTTTTCCTTAGTAGCTGTGGCTTGAGTTCTTTTGTAGATGCAGCCTGAACTTAAATCACACCTGCAAAAGAATATGAAAAATGTTTCTTTGCAGGCATGGCTTGAATTCAGGATGTGGCTGCAAAGGAAAAATTGGTAGCACACGCTTAAGTGTTCTTCCAGTTATTAATTTTTATCAAAAAAAAAAAAAAGTTGGCACTTCTTTAGTTTGGCACATTTCTCTGTTGCAGTACACTTACAAATCTGATACTTCTTCCTATTAGCTGCAGCTTGAACTTCCTCATGTCTGACATTGTATATGATGAAACATGTGCATGGTTTGCCCGGAACAGCCTGGCAGTCATAATTAGGCCCATGAGCTGGACGTTCCTCACCAGTGCCCTATTGGGAGTATTCTGAAAGGGAATATATTCTGAGAGGAAGGAAGTGTTCTATTGGGCTCCACAGGAAAACAACAATGGGGCAGGATTGTTGTTTCTAAGTTCTTGCTGCAGTGATAATAGTGGGCAGTCCCATCAACATCAAGTTCTGTGTGACTTTGTCTTAGTATGCAAAATGTGAGCCTGCGTTTTGCAAGGCACTATCCAGTGTGGGCAAAGGCATTTTTTGTTAAACCTTTCCCCAAATCTAATTCCAAATGCATTTTGTGTCCTTGCCTAGTTCATTATTTTTCTTTGTTTTCTCATTTTATTATTTACTCTTTTGTTCAGAGCCTCACCAAAACATTATGCTTGGCTGACAGATCAGCATCTCAGGGAGACACACAGCAGGCGTCAGTCACTAAGGGTTTTGAAGGTTAAGCAAATTCTTCCCAGAAAGCAATAGTAATGTGAAAACTCTGGGATCTTATATCCCTCTTCTTGACCATGTATGCACTTTGTGTTTTTGTATTGCTTTGGTTTGTGTCTTGGAAATACTGAGCTTTTTTGAAAAGCAAGGGCTTGCAACTAAATGGTTTTCACTTCCTGGTGTGGAACTCCAAACACTTCACCTTACCATGTTAAAACAATTACAGTACAGCTTTTTCCTACTACTTGGTAGGTAGTTACTCAGGCACGGGTGGCAGATGTGGGTGCTGCTGTGGTCTAAACCACGGAGCCTCTTGGGCTTGCTGATTGGAAGGTCGGTGGTTCGAATCTGCTCAGCGGTGGTGAACTCCCGTTGCTCTGTCCCAGCTCCTGCCAACCTCGCAGTTTGAAAGCACACCAGTGCAAGTAGATAAATAGGTACCACTGCGGCAGAAAGGTAAACAGCGTTTCCATGCACTCTGGTTTCCGTCACGGTGTTCTGTTCTGCCAGAAGCAGTTTAGTCATGCTGGTCACGTGACCCAGAAAGCTGTCTGTGGACAAATGCCGGCTCCCTCAGCCTGAAGCGAGATGAGCGCCACATCCCATAGTCGCCTTTGTCTGGACTTAACCATCCAGGGGTCCTTTACCGTTATCTACTCAGGCAGAGGGAAGTGGATATGTGCTGCTGCTTGATCACCTGCAGGGAGCAGCACCTAAGACCCAGCCTCACAGCCTTTCCCGGAGAAAGAAAGTCTTATTAGGGGTTGTCAGTTTAGCATGGCAAAAGTTTTCCAGTTGTCTTGTCCATGAAGGTGCCAAACAGCCCCCAACCTGTTGCATAGCTACAAATGTGTTGCTGCTCAACTACTGAGGCAATCTGTGCCTCCCTCTGCATCTTCAAAGTTGTGGACGATACTAGCCATTTGCCATGCTTGCTAGAGAGCAGCACTGTATTAGCTATGGTGAGTGGAACTGTGGAAGCCTGGCCATAGCAACTGGACAGCATATCATCAGAGGTGGGGAACCTGTGACTGCAGGTGTTGTAGACAAATTCCTATAAACCCCAACCAGCATGGCCAGTGGTCAGGAGCAATGGGAGTTGTTGTTGAGCAACATCTGGAGGGCCACAGGTTCCACACCTATGATTTGTGCCAAGCATTGTTGTTTTCTATATCCTCTCTTCTATGGGAAGCCAGCTTGAGCCCTTGCCTGACTAGATTTTTTTTAGGGGATATAGTAAGGTTTTGTTTGGACTTGCTTTTGTAGGCTGAATGAGATGTTGATTTTCTTGTCATTGCTTTTTTCCCCTAAGAGAGGTAGTTTTCTTATGAATTCCTGTGGTCCTGTTTTATCTTTAATGCGTTGAATTGTTTCATATGTTGTGTTGCCTTTTTATATAAAGTGTAAAGTTTTTGTGGGACGTGGACTTAATGGTCAGGGGTCCCTTTACCTTTACATTTAAAGTTTTTGCAGACAACTAGATATAATTTTAAGTGTCTGATACTCTACAACATTTTCATTATATACCTGCATCAGATTTTTGTAAATGATTCAGTATGGTTAGGATCAAACTTCAAGGCACTGGCTCCCCTAGATTTGTAAAATACTTGTGAAAAACTACTATATGTGAGATATTTAGGGACATGGATTTCTTTTTCTTTCTTTATCTCTCCGTTTCTCCCTTGAAAAAGTATTAATCATAATAATGTTTTGGTCAGTGAAATTTAGTCTAGAGAACACTGATGTAAATTAAACTGAAGCACAACAGCAGCTGATAAATGGAACATTCAGCCAAAAGAAATCTTATTTCTACTTCTAAGTGTTCCTTTATAAGTGGAAAAAGCTGACTTTGCAAGTTTGATAAAAGCTTTGTGGTAAGTTTGTTTGGAATAGGAGATAATGCTAGAATAGTGCTCTCCACATTATGTAAACCACTGAATGCAGGAGACATGAAGTTCTCAGGAGTGTTAAATATTAGCACAGAGCTAAATTATAAATGTTTAAAGAATGGTATAAGGATTTGAATCTTAATAAAATGAAATAGAAAGCATTGCGGGAAGCTGTATTGAAATGATTGATTGAAACGAGAGTTTTGCTATAACCACTGAGTAAAAGCCATTTTTCGGGGGGGGGGGGGGCAAAGCATTCCTATGTTCAGGATCCCCCCCTCCATTTATGTAATTATATTGTGATTAATAGATCAATACCAGCTATTTATGTATATTGTTCATTTAGGGGCAAAAGGACCTCTCTGAATTTAGAGGGCATTAAATGGCTCAGAAATTTTATATGATCAGGTAACAAGAATAATAAACCAAGACAAAAACTTGGTTTTTGTTGCCCAGAATGGCTGGGCAACCCAGTGAGATGGGTGGGGTGCAAAATTATTATTATTATTGAAATTAGTCATGTAATCAATCAATAGTGATGGTTTGTGGCCAAGACAGACATCACAAAATTGAAAAAACTAATACTTCAGGTCCAGAGAAGTAATGGTTTGAGGAAAAAGGATTTGGAAATAGTAATCCCTGAAGATGCATTTTGTTCAATGTGGAATACTTCCCTACAAATGTCTAAGACTAATGTCATTATATCTAAAAGAGAAACATATATTTATCACTTAAAAACTTACTGTTGGTGTTATATATCCCTCCATGTGGGTTACATGCATATTTCCCAGTGCAGAATGTAATTTGAAGATAAATAACAGGATAACAAATTCTGGGTAATCAGTTTTGAGTCATGTGCATAGAATATTTGGAGCCAGCAAAGATGTCTTGTTCTGGTTTTGATTTTTGGAGGAAAATGGGGCCACTTGTAGGCATATTGACACAGTGATTTCATATGATCTAGAACTAGACTTAGGTATTCTGTATGTTTTTGTTCAGGAACTGCAGTTGAGAATCAATTCATGGAACGATAATTGCTTTTTAAAATGTTTGTGATGAAAACAGTGTGCAATTCTCACGAAGAAATTTATTAATCACATATGAAGCAAGATGCTTATCTGTATTCATATAGTTTGCAATGACTTAGATTTGTATGGTCCATAAGGAATGCTGAATTGTGTCTGTATTTATTAGGCATTTTTATGTGCGTGTTGATGAAAATAATAAATGGTGGGGGCATCAAGTATATTTTAATTTTATGTTTAGTGTAAATGCATTTACGTAAAGGACAAAACCATCTAAAATACATATTTTATGACCTAAAACATTACATTAATGTTGATCGTCATAGTGGTCCGTTCCTTTGAAATCCTTTAAAATTTGAAATCCAAGTGTGGTCTGTTTTCATTATCTAAATTGGGTGCAATTATGGCAAAAAGATAGTGAAAACTGTTTGTAAAGGCTTCAAGTTCTAACATTCTAGTGCTAACACAATCTAAAGATTAGATTAGGTTATTTGAACATTAACTTGTCATATACCCCTTTTGAGTTCCTAAACTCTGAAAGCATGGGAAGGAGGCAAGTTAGTAACTAGATAAAATTGTTATTCAGGATCATTCTGTAATAAATGTAATTTTAAATAATTCCTCAAATCAGTGTCAGTAGCACTTAAGCCCCTTGTATACTGAAAAAATTTGATTAAAAAATTGAGATAAAATTAATGGTTTAACATTGATGCAGCAACACCTGTGGCCTGTAGTTCTGCAAAATTTAACCACTGAGCTTCTGTTTACTTAATTAGCCATTAAATTAGATGTGGCAGACTGGTTGCTAATGGGCCAGATGCAGCCGGTTGGACCTTCCTGCCTAGCCCTCAGTATCACCTCCTCACTTGCAGGTTTTAGGCTTGAAACAAAAGCTTCTATTAGTGTGCGTGACAGCAAGTGTGTTTGTCCACTTTGGCCACACTCGCTGTTGGCATATGGTCCCTGAATGATTGTCCAAGGGGAAATGCAGCCCTTGGACTGGAAAAATGCTCCCCACTCAGATTAAAATACAAAAAAAGAAAATATACACACTATATTTTTTCAAACCAAAACAAAAAACTTGAATATTTCATCTTTAGGGCTTTGGGCAGATTACATTTAAAACACTCATAAAATGTCAGAAGAGCAGACTAAGTTGAAAATTATGTTAAATAATATTATGTCATCTAAGTTGCCATAAAAAATCAGCCAGCCAACCTTTCCAAATTCTTTTTTTAAACTTCTGGGAAAATATTGAAGTCATGTCACTTAGGGCTTGGACTTCCTTCTCTAGTTTTATTAAGTGTTCAGTTAAACATTTATTGGAGATAAGAAAGGTGACTGCAAAAACATTTTCTAAATATATCTTGCTGCTTCTCATTGCTGGGCTTTGCTGTTACTATTTTAACTCACTTTAATTATTAATGCTATATTAACAGGGAAGTTGGAATTTTAAATGAAAGGTTTAGAATTCAAGGAGCCTCTTAGATAGCTGTATTGTCTAGGCTTCCCTGTTTGATTTTCTTACTTGCTGCTCCTCAAACTGCACTGAAATTCACTCTTGAAGTTTGCCCAAGCTTCTGGGATAGAAAGGCATTGCTTAGAAAGGTAGTACTTGGTGACCTTGTAGCATAACTGGAAGCTTCCCCCGTGGTTCTTTGGATCCCAGCCTAAGACTGAAAAACAGCACAGATAAACATTGCACTGGAAGGCCTATTTCTAGCTAATGGGGTATGGATGAAGAAGATACATTGTATCTTATTTATTTGTTTCAAAATATATTAATGCTCATTCACAATTTTTAGCAGGCTCAATTATATATTCGCATAACTTAATATTTTTAAAAGGTTTCTTGGATAATAGCAATTTTTGTATCGGGTGATTATTATTGATGCAGTTAGATTTAGTCCCCTGTTGTGTATTGGAAGGAATTTCCTCCCTGGATTATTGCCTGGGATTTGTCCTTTTTCAAGATCATTGAGCAGAGGTTATACATGTAAGATTAGGTACATGCTCTCATGCAGTTTCTTGTTTTCAGCAGAGATAAACTGAGCTAAGTAGTTGTTTTCCTTCCCTTTAAAATCTGCTTTGTAACAAATTGGCAGCCAGAGTAGAGGTCTCTTATGTAACCATTTTTCTTTGGATTTTGCCAGCAACTGTGCCAATCTGTTTTCTGCCTTAGTAATAGTCTCATGAGATGATGCCCAGTAGTTTTCAGAATGCTTTGACAGTAATCACTTCCCCCTTGGAAGTCAATGGGATTTCAGCATGGCAGTGTTAATGAATTGCGTTTGGTATAATTTACCTACTTCACAATACAGTATATGTTAATTTCAGTAGGGCTCACATACATTTCCTCTCACAAATTCAGATTAAATGATTAAGTGAGACACCAAAAGCCAGTAGCAATTTTCTTCCTGTGCCAGAGGTTTTCAACCTTTTTGAATCCACGGCTCCCTTGACCAACTACAGTGGTAACTACAGGTTACATACGCTTCAGGTTACAGACTCCACTAACCCAGAAATAGTGCTTCTGGTTAAGATATTTGCTTCAGGATGAGAACAGAAATCGTACAGCGGCGGCACAGCGGCAGCAGGAGGCCCCATTAGCTAAAGTGGTGCTTCAGGTTAAGAACAGTTTCAGGTTAAGTACGGACCTCCGGAACGAATTAAGTACTTAACCTGAGGTACCACTGTACATTCTTTCTGTAGCACAACTGTGGGGCTCAGGAGCCCATTTATGTTGCCCATTGCCTGTAGAGCTGGCAGCCTTGCACCCTTTTTGGACAGCCTCCCTTGTGGAGTGTTCCCTCAGCCTCCTCTCCTCTCCCTTCACCTTGGGAGTCCTCTGGACAGCCGCTGCTGCCGTCCCTCAGAGGAGTTGCCCCCCCCTCCAAGAAGAGGCGACTCCTCACACTACCCCACAGGGGCATGGGACTTGTCTGTCCATTCCCAGAACCAAGGTCTAGTGGACTGGCTGGCTGGGCCCCCTCAGCCACTTGCTTGCTTACTCCAAGGCCACCTCAACTCCTGGCAACCAACACCCCCTGGCCAGCCCCAGAGGCATCATTTGCCAACAGAGCTTGTAGTCAGGGCTACTGCAATAAACAGCTGTGAAGCCTTTGGGAAGCAGAGATGCGAGAGAACATCAGAGGAGGGAGGGAAGGAATGAGAAATAGAGCCAGTGTTGCCCATGTCACCGCTGACCATCATTCAAGGCATCCCAGGGTGCTATGGCATACTGGTTGAAAACCACAGCCCTATGCAAATTGCAGTTTCAGAGGAGAGGTTTTTTTGTCATTATCACAGCAGGAGAAGGGTTATATCCCCCCACCCTCTGAGGTTCCAATAATTATAAGCCACTCCCCCAGGAACTTATATTTGCACTTTTTGTAAAGTGCATGCTAAATGCCAAGACACATTTATCATCACATCTGTCTTCGCCCTATACTGAGACTTGTTCTGTTCTGTCAATTTCAGCTGTTACCCTCAAACTAGTCTTAGATGATTTTAGTTCTGTTAGTTTTCTTCTAAAGTTATGGGAGAAAATCAGTCCAGAGTTCTCCTGAGATAACCAATTTGTGCAGGACATCTGAAAAAACTCACAAATATTTTGCTTTCACTTTTAACAACATATGTGAATACTTCATTGCTAATGATATCATTAAGTTGTTTTCAATGTAGTGATAAGCAGATTGTTCCATCAGTGCAAGGATTTCTCTCCCTCAACTAGTGGGTCATTCAATCATTAAGTGCTGTCATGAGAACTTGAATAGGCAAACATTCTATATAATTAATGAATTTTTAAAGATACATTAGTTATGTGCATACATTCAGTGTTTTAACTATCTCTTTAAAATGTAATGTTTGTGAAGTGGTTTTTATTCACTGGCTGGTTAATGTTGCAGATCACTGGATACGTAGAAGCAGAAAAGTATTTAAATACATATGCTACTTTTTCACCTATTGGTGCTGAAAACAAACAGTCCAGAGATAGGTCAGTCTTAGTCCATTTAAATCAATGGGCTTTAGCACGCTTAAAACTGGGCTGGATCATTTTATTGGTGTCTTAATCCTCTTTGCTATTTACCTTCTTCAAGATGTGTTAAGATAAAGGAATTAACATGTTTCATTTGTCTTGTCATGTGCAACATGCAGTATTGTAATGTTTGGCATACAGTACTACTCAAATGAAACTACCCCGACTGATTAAAAGCAACCACTCCACATAACTACTGTTGTATAGTTTCACATGTACTTTTGAAAGATAATATAAGCATTTTTATTGATATTTTCATGTGCCTTTGACAAGTATCGTAACTGAACAATCTTTGTCCAATCCTCATAACTGTTCTCCTAACAATATTATTCATTATGGATCATAAATTAAGAAAGCTTTGCAAATTAATAAACATAATTGGCTGCTTGATTTATAATATTTTTAATTGGCCTGTTTAGCTTTACTTAAAACGTATGGTGAGATAGCCAATATTAATTAGAGCAAACCCATTGATTTTAGTGGACCTACTGTGAGTTTGAAAAACAGATAAACCATAAGTGAAACTGAAAATGTGAACATATTTATGTAAGAGGCGTTGAAGAATGCACTGTCTATACTTGTCTTGATGTGGTTAGTAGCTCTGAATTAAACACATTAATTATGGAAGATCAGTTCTCACAAGAACATCAAATTGCTTTACATTTGTTTTTTAATCAAAAATTATAAAATGGATTTAAGTATAAAACTGACAGTTTATATTGTCCTGTTACTGTGACTTGCTTGTTTTATATGACAGTAATCTCTTGGAAACCTTGTCACATGAATGAATTCTTTGTGAAAAATATTCACGATTGTAGGCATGTTTTGCGTTTAGTTGTCAAGCAATAAACATGTATGTGTGAGTAAAAATGCTTTCCTTCCTTTTTATTTACTTCTGATGACATTAGTGTTGGCTATAGAGTAAAGAATGTGTTTTTTACATATGCACACATTCGTTGTATGGCAGAATTTTACATCTTTATAAGTTCTGGGAAGGGCAGAAAGTTCAAGGATGCTGTTCATGTACATTAAAATCAGTAGGAGCTTGGTTAAATATTCCAAGAAAGTGTTGGGTAACTAGACAAAAGCAAAACTCAAGCCTTGTGAATAAGAAGAGTTTCAACACTATTCTCTCCTATTAATTATGGGGTAAGGACTTGGACTTCACGTTCTTCTTGCCTGTAGAAAGATATGATGGCAAAAGAGAGAGTAGTAGGAAACAAGTAATTTCCACAGCGATCTGTTTGTACCCTCTTATAATATACCGTATTTTCGTCCCATAGGACGCACCTAGTTTTTTTGGGGGGGAAATAAAGGAAATTTTTTTCCCCTTTATTCCCCCCCCCCCAAAGCCAGGTCGGGGAAACCGAACCAGGTCGAGGAACAGCGGGATGGCGGCGCTGCGCCTCCTTGCTGTCCCCCGAGCTTGTGGGCTGGCCAATGTCTGTCCGGCGGGCGGGGCACTCTGCTTCAGGGCGCCCTTCGCGCCGGGCGGCAGGCTGCTATCCGCAGCGTAGGAAGCAGGCTCCAGCACGCTGCGGATGTCTGCCCGGCGTGAGGGGCGCTCTGCTTCAGGGCGCCCCTCGCGCCGGGCAGCAGGCTGCTATCCGCAGCGTAGGGAGCCCTGCGGGACCTCCCGCAGGGCTGCCTAGGCTGCGGATATGTTCCCGAAGCGCCAGGCGCTCTGCTTTCAGCACACCCGGCGCTCCGGGAAGCAGGCTGTTATCCGCAGCCTAGACAGCCCTGCGGGAGGTCCCGCAGGGCTGCCTAGGCTGCAGATGTGTTCCCGAAGCGCCGGGTGCTTTGCTTTCAGCGCGCCTGGCGCTCCGGGAAGCAGGCTGCTATCCGCAGCCTAGACAGCCCTGCGGGAACTCCCGCAGGGCTGCCTAGGCTGCGGATGTCTTCCTGAAGCCTGGAGAGCGAGAGGGGTCGGTGCGCACCGACCCCTCTCGCTCTCCAAGCTTCAGCGAAAGCCTGCATTCGCCCCATAGGACGCACCCAGATTTCCCCTTCATTTTTGGAGGGGAAAAAGTGCGTCCTGTAGGGCGAAAAATACGGTAGATGCCAAACCCTGTCTACAGTGCTACTTATATAGGTGAGAATTGCTAAAAGCAATTGCTAGCAGTTTTTTGTTGCAACATCAGTCCTGTAATTGTTGTCACAAAGGTCCTAAGATACGAGTAAATTTAAGAATGTGCCAGTGATTTAGGAAAGCCGGAATTTAGTAGCTTGAAAAGATCTACTTTTCTCTGAGAGCTTGTCAGCAAGGAGGTGGGCAGGGAAAAGAACCTGTTTCCAGGCTGAGTAAGGAGGAATGGGGAGGTGTATGAAAGTGTTGGCTGGAGACTCTTGGCTGCATAAACACTTTTGTTTTTCAGCTACCCTTCCCCTTGTGTGTCTGTAACCAGGCCAGGGGGATGATTTGAAGTGGAGCAATAAAAAACATAAGCATTAAGCCAGGTTACTGAGTTTGAACATAATGATTAATGCAAGCTGATATTCCCAACCTTTAAAACTATGGGTCCAACTGTGTTGGCCTTAAAGAAACCATGCTTAGTTGACTGGGGCAGGTTTGAACTAGATATGAAAACAAGCAAAAGTTAATATGAACAAACCATGGTTTACCATCTCGGCCCCTGCTAGTACAGCTGCATGCTGTTCTAAAACATCTGGAGGACACCTGGTTGCTGATGGCTGGAGTAGGCAGCATTACCGGGCAAGAGGGGCACATAGGCTGACCAGTAAAGCAGGTATGGAGAGCCTTTGGCCCTAGATGTTTCTGAACCACAACTCCCCTCAGCCACAGCAAGCATGATGGAAGTTGTAGGCCAGCAACATCTGGAGGGCCAAAGGTGGAAAAATAATGCAGACTCTTTATAAAGAAGCATGTGAGACAATTTATTATTAGGAATAAGTTACACATTAAGAAGGATCTCTGTGACTGGATCGGTGAACTTCTTTATTTTTACTTTTATCTGGGGCAGAGTTCGATCAGAGAGGTAAGGGAGTGATTTTTTTTCTTTCCCATACACAGTTTTTCTGATTTAAAAATTTGCTCCCTCCTCTGAAGTTGCTATGTTCCCATTTGAAGGCTTCCCTCCATGGCTCCTTCAGAGTAAAAATAACAGTACCTGTATTGGAAGATCCAGTCGTAGATCTCATTGATAACATGTAGTTAAGCCTCAAGTACATACAGGATGGTAGATAACTTTCCATCCAGTTGTGTACTGCTTAGTGGGAAGGCAGATGGGGCAGAAATGTTGTGCCATCTCACTTCTTGCTCCAGGTTACTTTAGGTTATATTTTTACTTGGTTTCTTTTTGAACAGCTTAAAAAAACGAACCACCTGCAACTGGTTAACTGAATCTGTAACTACAGGGCATAAGTTCTCACATTGAAGGGTATAAACTGGCTGTTTAATAGAGTTCAGCTGGGGGCTATTTTTGACCCTGTTTATTTCAGTTAGGAGTCTACCTATAAGTCACTAACTGTTATGCTAAGCTCATATGTTCTTGAGAGCAGTTCCGTTTAAAGTTGTGCAGAACTCTATAGCACAGACTAAATAGAAAAGGTTAACAAAATAAATAAAAATAAGGCTTATGTAACTAGAATACATCTGCAACTAGAATAATTTGCTCAACAATCTTCCTTTTTCATACCAGGGTTTTAGTGTTGTCTTAATCACTTTGGACTAGTGCAGGCTTATCAGCTTGGATCCCATAACCACGGTGAAATTAAGTAGAAGTAGAAGGGTTCATATAGCTCCTTTCAGGAGCAAAGTCCCCCTATATTTCCCCATGGATCCTAACAACAGCAGAGCATTACATTAGTATTAACTAGTTCCCTCTTAACAAGGGTTTGGTAACCAGTTTTAATCCATGGGTTCAAATCCTTGTTAAGAGGGAAGACAGGTTAGCATTAACTGCCCTTAACATTGGTACTGGTGTGATGCTTTTAGACAGTCAAGGAAGCAAGGGGAGATTCACTTTTGCAAGTGATTCCATGAGACCTTTCCTGGCTATTATAGAGAGTAGTGGTTGCCAGCAGATATTAATGGATACTGTTTGTGATGCGCACACAGTCTGAGCCAACCTTGATGATTCAGTGCCAGTGTCTCTTGTGTCCTCAACAGTGATTTTGCCTTGGTGGTGGTAGATTACTTCTTGAAGTTTGGAAGACCTGAAATTCTGGTAGAGAAGAATCAGTATCTTCTGACCTATGCCTTGTAATAATAAGTAGAATGAAAATTTGACACTTTGTGGTAGCCAGAAATGGTCAGTCTAACCAGATGAATATCTGGTTGAGTCCCAAGTCAGTTGTGCTAGTAAAGCAAAAATAAATGATTGCAGATTGTTCTAGTGGTCCTAAACAGTTTTTACAGATTAATTATGTGACAGATAATGGCTGTCATTTTCCAATTCTTGACAAAAATACATCTACCAAAAAAAAGTACATGCATGCAGATGAACAGGCAAAGACATACATCGATAAATACTTGCAGGATCATATCTAAAACAAAAAATTACTAAGCTATAACAAGCCATTGTCAGGCGTGCCTTAAAGGAGTGAGAAATACTAAGTACTTAAGGGGGGTGGAATCTGATTGGGCTGTATCCTGCCAATGTACATTATCTGCGAATAGATGCTGAATGATGTGCTGTTGAACTGATTATAATGGGACTGCCTTAAAAAGTATGACCTTGATTGTGCCAGTTGCACTACACTTAAGGATTTTTCAAATTGCAAATCTTAGTTATTATATGCATAGCAATGCTTTTAACATTATTTCCTGGGCTGCATGAACATAACTTAATCAGTACCTTGCAGCACTTGTTCATTTTGCAAGCGGTTGTCTTTTGTGACCATGACTAACACATTTGCAATCTTTCTCTTGCCTAAAGTGGAATACTGACAGCTCATTACAGGTAAAACACAGGTCTGTGAGTTTACCTGGCCTTTTTGAATATTACTGTGGAGTTGTCTACTCTTAGGGAGGGGGTGAGAGGAATGAAAATATGTATAGTCTCTAGTCTGAAGCCTTGATGTTTGGCTGTTGGCTACTGTCTAGAACATCCAAGTTGCTGTGCTAAGTAGCAATGAATAAACCTTTACCAACTTTCTGCTAATTTGAAAGTGTTTATAGATTGAAGGTTGCAATCCCGTCTCACCTATCGGAGCATAAGCACCACTTATGAGTAGGTCTGTATAGGAGTGTACTGTAAGGGTGCAATGAGGTCAAAGCCGAGCACACCAAAGTCCCATTAAAAATATTGAGCATAAAGGTCACAGTTAAGCCCATCAGTTTCATACATTTTAATTGGACCAGTGTGCCTAAACGTACCAGGACAGTGCCCAGTGTTTCCTTTTCTCTGCCATGCTCACCCTTGGACTCAGCAGAAAACATCTATTCTATAGCAGAGCATGCAGAGATACATATACAAACACATATGTTGTGACACTAACCCACCACTGTGTTAGAAAGATGAGTGGGAAAAGATAGGTCTGCCTCTTCCTAAAATGATCCAAATACCAAAGAGAATTGAATCAAATAAATGTTTAAGAATAATAAAAATACTAATGCATCATTTAGAACCCCCCTTTTAATAAAAGAACATTAATCCAAAGTATTGGATTCAATCTCCTTACTCAATTTACTTATGTGCTAGATGCAAAAGTATTTTGAAAAGATGTATATATGATTGCCAAATGTGCGTCCATCTTTAGGTCTTTGACACGGTTTAGCTTACAGTTAGGTAAATAATAAGCAGATAGATACAAGTATGCACTTTGATTAGTGCAATCAGGCTGGTGTTGGCGGCTCCTGTGGGTGTTAAGTAGTTTGTGTATTGAATTCAGATTTAGTAAACATGAAGGAAACTTGCACTCAAAACCTAGTGTCTGGCTAAATAAAGGATTTTTTTCCCCTTTACATCATGTTTACATTTTCTAAGAATGTCTGAAGAATGAGGGAGTGGGGGAACTAAATTCTGTTTGTCTTTTCAACCATAGGACGTGATAATGCATGTGAGAAAACATCATATATGTTCCTGCGGAAAGAACTTCCTGTGCGGCTTGCTAACACTATGAGAGAAGTCAACTTGCTGCCGGACAACTTGCTGAATAGACCTTCAGTTAAGCTAGTCCAAAGCTGGTAGGTATAGAAAACAGGCAACAAAGCTATATGAACCGAACATGGTGAATTTTACAAGCAAAATAATCTAGCTGCCCAGCTCAGGCAACTGTAGCAAGCTTACATATAAGAATTCAATGGTTGGGTTTCTGCTCCATATTCTACATACCTGGGCTCTTCCTCTACCTTGTACATTCCACTTCTTCCTTACCCACAAGCTCTAATTTCTCTTCCCTCCATCTGCATGCTCCAAATCCTCTTCCTTTCTCTCAGTTCACATGTTCCACCTCCGTTTTCACGAGTTGTTCTGGGATAGCAAAAATGACATCCTTAAGAATAAATTTAAATTTGGTGTGTGTGTCTATAAGAATATTTTTGAGTAAGTTGTTTTTGCAGTACATGAAGTTATTTGGGCCATGTAGAAGACCTATGGTGGCAGGGGGAAGTGTTGTTAATAAGCTACATCTAAAAGACTCTAGAGAGAGAAGGGAAAATGGGTGAGATGTTAATGGGAATTAATGTGAACAAATGTGGTTTCACCTACTTAGGCACCAGTCCTATTCACATTTAACTGAAAGTATGTTTCACTAAACTTGATGGAACTTTCTTCTAATTAGACATGTATAGATAGGATTGTACCAATGCTTCTTTTTGGTTAGAGATGGTATTAAAAGTCATGCACTGAAAACCTAGTGCATTTGAGGTTAGTTTGACGCTAGACCTGGTCTGTTTCTTAAATGGGATATGTTCTCTTGCAGAGGTGCTATAAAAATATGTAAAATGTTTTCCCTTTACTGTACTGAGAAGAGTGGAAAATTATAAGCTTTTTTATTGCTTTAATAGATTTTTTGTTTTGTAGCAATAGTGGCTTACAAAATCAAATCTTAAAAGTAAAATAAAATATGTCTTGGAAACCCAAAGAATCTAGGATAAAAGCAGCAGAAGTCAATTATAAGAAGTCCTGCAGAACAGTAAGTTTCAAAGCTCTGATAAAAGAGGAGAGGTGGGACTTGGAGGACCGTTCCAGGTTTAGAAGATTTGCATTAACTGTAGAATTTCCTGTTATATGAAACAATATCTACAGTTGTAACTGTAAATAGTTGTTTTCTACACAGTGCATATGTTATAAATAACTCTACAGTTTTCCACTTTCAAATGGTTTCTGGTGTCAGGTCTATGTCTAAAATACTTTTAAGTACAAGTGAATAAATTGAAATCTGAATCAGTTGGTTCAAGTATTTAAATAGTAATCCTTTAATTTACTTAATTTTTGCTGGACAAAATTTACAATATCTGCATCATATTTCAAAGATATTTTAACCTAACATTCTTTAGTTGACAATTTTTGTAGGTTCTAATGCCTTCCAGTGTTTCAAGTCATTATTAGTTAAGACTCTAGCTTATCTCTTGCTTTTTCGCTAGGTGGTTTTACGTTAATTTTGCTCTTCCTATGTGTTTCAGGTATATGCAGAGCTTTCTTGAACTTTTAGAATATGAAAATAAAAGTCCTGAAGATCCACATGTTTTAGATAAGTAAGTGACTACTGTTTCAAACAAATCAACTCTGTGGAAACAGTATAATGATCTTCTGCCGTAATGTAGATGAAATCAGAATTTTAGTTCACAAAGTTTGCTATTGTTTCATGAAAACTTTTTTTTATTAGAACAAATAACTATATTGAAAAAGACTTTTAGTTTCCTAATAATGCTGTATTGTATATACTAATGAACTGATCAGGTATCTGTTTGTTTTTTCCAGCCTGCTGTAGTTTAAGGTGAAGGTGAAATGTTAAGTTGTAACCTCCCCTTAATAAAAAAAAAGATAAAAATGCTGCCATTGTTTCTAAAGGAAATGCATTGTATATTCAGCCGGATGCATCTTGGAAGTCATCTTCTGCAATTGCTTGTACAGCTAAATTGGCAAAGTGACTTTAAGAGAGAGAGAGAGAGAGAGAGAGAGAGAAAGGGTGTATTTCCTGTGATAAATTAGATTACACCAGGAGTCCCGTAAGAAATGGATTTGGGTCTTTGAAAAGCAGTGGAAAATATTGGTTTTATTTTGTGGAGAAGATGAGAGTATTCGCTTTGGGGCTCTGAACAAGTGCAGAATCAGGACTTGATTTAGGTTTGATGAGGCCCTAAGCTACTGAAGGTAATGGGGCCCTTTATATGTCCAGCTGTCCTTTGTCAACAATAAATTGTCACTGTTTTTTGTGTTGAATATATGCTATATGGTGATTTATGGACCTAATAGGTATCTAAAGCCATTTGCACATGTTGCCATGCACACTTTATATAGAAATGAGCAAACCAGTGATATTTCAGGGAGCAAGCTAGCAGACGGGGCCCATTGCTTACATCATAGGAGACTACACAACACGAAACACTGTTGCTGTATGTAGGTTTTATTTTATTTGTTTTTTATCTTACATTTTGGAAATGTACATCCAGATTTTTTTTCTTTAAATTTTTTGGGGGCCCCCAAGAGAGTGGGGCACTAGGCTATAGCTTGTTTAGCTTATACGTAAATCTGGCACTGTGCAGAATCCGTATTTCAGAGTATATATAGTTCACAAATAATATTTTATTTTCTTCTGTGTCATCGAACATCAGATATGATGAACTTCAAAGTCATCCCCTGTCATTTATTTGGACAGGTATGGTTCACAAAATAACCAAAAGGTCAAGGTAAACAATAAGGTTATGTTTAGAGACAGTGTGACACCCAGGCGAATCATATGCGGACATGTAGGAATAAAATGGCACAAATTCGCATTGATGATACTTGAAGTTGAAATGGAATTCTGAAAATAAACCCATTTTTTCCTCTACTAAAAGAGAGTGTTTTTCATAGCCCTTCTTAGAAGGTAGTCTATAATACAGAGCAAAAATCAAGAAAGCAAACTTTATTTCTTTATATTGTATCTTTATTTGCCACTTCTCTACATGTTAGAGGAGTAGGATGCCCTTTAATACTTAGATCTCATGTACAAAAAAAAAGGGAATTCTTTTTTCATTTGAAGCAGCGAAGTAGAGAAATGGACTTCTCCTGGCCTTAACTCTCAGATCCTCATAGAATCAGCAGGATCTAATCTAGCTGAAGCTTTTAAGCATTAAATAATTTTCAAGAAGGAGTGCTTGTCCAATCAGCAAGCCAGGTGAGTAGGTTAAAACCCTCCTTGTGCAATTTGAAGGTTTTGAGGTTTGGGATTAGGTTGTTACTGTTCAGATTTCTCAGTTATTATTTTTAGAGTAATGGATCATTTGAAAACTGCATGAGGAATTTGCGGAGGTACTTAAGCATTGCTGATTAGACACGAAAATGGCAAGTAAGATACCTTTTAAAAAGGAGCACTCTTTCACAATCAGAAATGTATGTTAGAAAAGTACCTGCAAGGAAAATGGACATGATTTTATTACTTGATAGGAAAGGTTATATTTACATCATGGCAGCTCTCTAGACTAGCAAAACTTCCCGATACAAGAAAAATGGGGAAGACTGGTAAAAATGTGTGGGGAATTTGCATAGTTAATGGAAGTAACTTAGATCAGTGTTTTTCAACCTTTTTTGGGCAAAGGCACACTTGTTTCATGAAAAAAATCACGAGGCACACCACCATTAGAAAATGTTAAAAAATTTAACTCTGTGCCTATATTGACTATATATATAAAGTAATTCTCTTGAATAGGAATCAAATAAACACAAAGAAAGTATTTTATAATTACTTTATTATGAAATAGTAAGTAAACAGAAATATGAAAAATTATAAAATACTTTATTCAGTGCGCAACCTGGGCCTGTTTGGCTGAACACAAAGCTGATATTCTGGCTGGAATCGAACGTTGCGGACCGTTCTCTGCTCAGTGGGGATCGATCCGCTGATCCCCGCTGAGCCGGCGGATGACAGCTCCGTCTCTGCACTGTGTGCGGAGAGGGAGATGTCAGAACCCCACTGCTCTCTATGGGGAATCGGATGAGAGCGGACCGCCTGTCCGCTCTCATCCGATCCCATCCGATCTGATCCCCACCCAGGACGGATGGAAAATAGGGTGGACACAGTCCTGCGCCCGCCTAGTGGGCGAAAATTTGACTTTTTTTTTAAAAAAAATCTTTCGAATTTTTCAATTTTTCCTACGGCAGACCAGGCAACATCTCGCGGCACACTAGTGTGCCGCGGAACAGTGGTTGAAAAACACTGACTTAGATAATAGACTCAAGCATATTCCAACCCCCCTTGCCAAATATTTAGTATTGTCACTAGAATATTCAAACTTGTAATTATTGGAAATGAGGGTAGCGCTGCCAAGTTGGACCTGCAAAAGGAAACCATGCTGCTTCACTTGGGAGGCTAGATTTCAGGTATTCTTACTGAGAAGACCTATGAATTTAAGCAGATTTGTACAGATTTGGATTTTTTGCACCTTCCTGTTTTTCCTTGGTAACAGGAAGGGGAAAGAAATACATAGCACACAATCTGCCCCACTTTGAAGTGTGGTTCCTGTTGAAAAGAAAAAGGCTGAGATTCTAATGCTGATTGCTTAGCCAAGGACTGGATTCTGTGGCACAAGCAAATCTTATGTTTATTATTACTGGCTTGGGTATTTGAGAGTATAGTAAAATGTGGTTCCTATTTAATACTCCCTACTTTTTTATAATTATGTACTCATTAATCCCTCTTGTCCCCCTTCACCATAATTATGGATTAGATGAACAGCCAAACCTTCAGTAGTTTTATAATCTGTGTCGTACAACTTCTAACAGTACCAGTACTAAATGAATGTTGGGGTGTGTACAGCCATAGATAGTTTTAGATGTGAGTCCGCTATGGTAGTTTGTGTACCGCATGTTGGCTAGATGTTTAGTCTTCTCCCCTGGATCAGTTTTGGATGAAACTTGTTTTCTAGTTTGTAACACAAGTTGGATTTGTGCAATGCTAATTGACACTTCTTTCAGTCCAGAAGACATTTTCCAATGTCCTTGGAGCAGGGCTATGCACAGTGCTGGTTGGCTGGCTCATGGATCCAACCCTTGTCACCTGAGTATTATTTTGAAATGTAAAACAGCTGTTCGAACAGTGTGAATTTTACACTTTATAATTGCAAAAAGTGGGAAACGAAAGTTTGACACCACTCCATAAACATGGAAAGCACTTAAGAAAGAAACTAAAGCAGACAGCCCACCTGATTCAACTGGGGGGGAGTGGGGGGGTTATGAAGACGAAAAGGCAATCAGCACTGGATTCACAAGCTATGTGTTTGACCTTTAAGGTGCTGGTGGGAGAAATAAATAAATAAAACTTGCACCTGCTGCTGTTTACAGGTATATTTGTATGGAACCTTAAGTAGTAATAGCAGTTAAATATGCTTGTATGCACATTAACTTAAAAAAAAAGAACATTTTTATGGTACTTGGAAACAGCATGTTTCTGTTTTCAGATCCCTTCTTCTTGAAAGAGTTCCATGCTAGTTTTTACTAATTGATCACCTGCTATATTTATATAAACGGCCTAATTTTCTATGTATTTCCTCCCTAAATGAGCTATGTGTGTTCTACTATGATCAATTTAATATGTAAAGTAGTGTCCTTCTGTTCTTTTTTATGTTACCTATAAAAAGGTTGGCTTAGTATTATAGATGGAATTGAACACAACTCTCTCCTTTTGTTATTCTTTTTTTCATGCATTTATCATGTTAAGTAAATAGTTGTGTTGTCAATTATAAAAGTGGAAGAAAACGTGAATTTCTGATACTTCAAATATCAACTGGTGTTTTGTTTTCAGCTGTTTATGTTCAGTTAGTTACAGCTCAAACAATTGCTTGTAGATAAACAGTAGTTAATGTTTATCCAGTATATTTAGTCTTTCATTCACTTTTATGGCGCAAATAAGTGTTATTTATTTGACAGTCACCATCTATTTAGGAATCAAATGTAGAGCTTCAAAAGGCCAGTGCAAAATCCTAACACTGCCTAGTATCCCTTACTGCAGGCCTCTCATTTTATAATAATAATAATAATAATTATTATTATTATTTATTATTTATACCCCGCCCATCTGGCTGGGTTTCCCCAGCCACTCTGGGCGGCTTCCAAAAGAATATTAAAATACTGTGATACATCAAACATTAAAAGCTTCCCTAAACAGGGCTGCCTTCAGATGTCTTCTAAAAGTCTGGTAACATTTTTGCATGTTATTTGTATACCGCCTTCCATTTTCAAAGCTAACTGTAATGTCTGCACTAGTATTTTCACTAGTCATGGTTAAAGCCAAACCATAGTTTGTTGTCGTGTTTAGAAATAGATGGTTTGAGCTAATGGTGATTAGCAAGCATTACTGGGGCAGAAAGATTGCTAGCCATGGTTAGATCTGAAAATGAAAGGTAGATTTATGAGAGATCAGCAATGTAATTAGACTGAGAGTGTATGACTATTCCAAGCCGCTAAGTAGCATTTATGACCAACCAGGGATTTGAATCCACCCTGTCCTGGACCACTCTAGTTCCATACCCACTGCACAGCACTGCAGAATGTGATGCACTTGTGGGGCCCAGCCTACTAGTGTAAGATTAGTTGGTATAGAAGATCAGGCAGAATTACTTCTGCAACAAACCCAAACTTGATGGCCTCCAATAGTTTCAAGAAAATGAAGGGGGGCCCCCAACTATAATGATGTTAAGAGAATTTCATGCTTCATTTGTCCCTTGCTCTTAAACATAACCATCATAACTTTATTGTAATTGATGCTGCCAAATTTGGAAACAGTCAAACTTCAGCAGCTGCTCTTTTGGAGTCCTTCTGGATCTGGGAGGTTTAATCAGATTACATGTTTTGAAGCATCTCTCTCCCATTTTTCCAGCTCCTTACACAAAGTGAAGAATGTTGGTGGTGCAACTATGAGGCATGAATAGCTATTTTATTTTGTTTTGACTTGCATGAGCAAAACATTTAGCAGCGGCACAATTTAAAATATGCACATGTGGCTCTAAACAGGTCTTGGTGAACAGACTGGCTTTCTTGGAATACAGAAAACTTTCTAGCATGTTATCTGCAATGTGATGTACTAAGGTATATTGTGGTAAAGGCTCTGGGTAGTGATTGGATGAACTGTCCTAATGCTATAGAGGGGTGGGGCAGACAAAAAGTCTGTCTGCAGAAGGGCTTAAGAAAGAAGTAGGTAAAGGGGAATGAGAAGGCCTTAAAACCCAGAAAAGCATAGGGGCCTAATGCAGGTTTGAACAGGGAGTAGTTCAAAAGAATATGAATGCAAGAGGTGATCTTAAAAAAGGGCAGATTGGAAGGAAAGTGGACAGGAGATTGAGGCCATGAGTTGCAGAGGTGAGGAAGGCAGATGTTCAAATGATGATATGAAATATTCATCTGCAGCCAAATATTTTAGTACAATGTGATGGTACTGAAAGTTTTGTATTCTGAATGAATTTTAATGGTGTCATCTAAGATGCAGATTTTGTAGTTAACTGTCACATCTTGTCTCTGATTTCTCTCTCTCCAGCTTTTTAGATGTCTTAATTAAAGTCAGGAACAGACACAATGATGTTGTTCCTACCATGGCCCAAGGAGTGATTGAATACAAAGAAAAATATGGCTTTGACCCTTTTGTCAGCAGTAACATCCAGTATTTCCTAGATAGGTTCTACACCAACCGCATCTCGTTCCGCATGCTGATTAACCAGCACAGTAAGTATCTGCTGTCCATTTAATCAAAAGTTGGTCTTCCTCCCACCCCTTCCTTTATCCTCACAATAGTTCTGTGAAACAGTTTAGGTTGAGAGAACGGGACTGGGGCAAACGCAACCAATGAGCTTTGTGACTGTGGGGATTTGAACCTAGATCTCCGAGATCCGAGCTCATCTCTCTTAACTCAAGGGCAGCTAACTCCCATCACCCTTAACCATTGGATATTCTGGTTAAAGCTAATGGGAGACCAACAACATCTGGAGGGCCAATGTTAGTTCCTCTTTCTCTAACTACTACGCCACTCTGTCTACTGTAAGGCAAACATTAGGCCAGCAAATAGACTTAAGTTGGAACAACTTTACACAATTTATGTCATTCACCGTGTTGTGTGCAGCATTTCATGCTCTTCTGCCATTCAAGCTGCTTAAGTTTTTAAAAGGATCTTGGTATGAAGGAGCTCAGATATAAGTGGGGGATGGGAGAAAGAACTGGGGTTTTATTTGGCATAAGGAGAAAGACAGTGTTGGAGCAAGGGAAAAAGAAACATCCTGTCTCAAGCAGGCTTTTCCTGAATATTTTGTTATTAGCTTCTTGACACTGGGGTGGGGTGAGGGAGTCTGGAAAACAGTTTCCTCAGAAAATAACTGAGGTTATGGATTTTAAAAAAAATGATACAAGGCAGGTTTCTGCATCCGTTATCTGGCAAAGTCAGAAAGGGACACTTAATGGATGTCTGTACTTGCTTTGGCATGAAATAGTATTGCAGCCTGTGCATCAGTCAGAGAGCAGTGCCATGCAGGGTGTCTCTAAGAGCTGAGTGCCATGTCAGTTCTCAGCATGCTGTGAAAAAAACAAACTACAAGTTGCATCTGACCGCCTATCAGTTAAGGAAATCTAGCCTTCATTGTTTTGTCAGTGTGACTATGCTAACTCCCACCCACAGTCTAGTTAGCAAACGCACAGAAGGAACAATTTTTTTGCAGCTATAAAAGTAGCATTTGCTTAATATCAGTCTGTTCAAATGCATTATGGACTTGACCTCAACTGCTGAAGTTATTTTGTGCAAATCATTCCCCTTATCAGTATTGCCGCGGTGATTGCAAATAGCTTTTGTTTGCTGATGTTTGAACAGCTGTAAATGTTTCCAATCAATTGACCCTGCTTTCGCCAACCTGGCACCCTCCTGCTGTTTGGGACTGCAGCTCCCATCAGACCAGCCAGCACTATCCCACTTAGTTCTGAGCCTGTTCCTTTGCTTTCAAATGGAAAGCAAGAAGGTTAAATGCAGAGGGAGGACTCACAGAAAATTATGACTAGCCTTGATCTGAAATGCATACAGCTAGCTGGAACAGTCCTTAGAGCCATGTGGCAGCAAATGGCAGCCAGAAATTAGTGAGACAAAGGGCTAGTGAAGAGTGACAGGTCCTATTGCAGCAGGCCTGGTAAGAGTTGTGCATTTGGGGGCTAGATTAATAATTTTTATATCCTTCCATAAATGCTGAATTGCACAAAGCTAACCCTGCTTCCAAATACTAAAATAATTATGAGTCTGATGGAGGCAGACCATCACATAGAGAGTGGTGATTTTCTTGTAATAATATACAAGAAAACTTTAAAGCACATGTTGCCATTCCAGATTGTATATTTTGTTGTATTCTTGAATACACTGCAGTTCACATTCAGTTTACTGAATAATGTTCAGATAATTCCTTTACCCTTTGTCTCTCTTTGGCTATGTATAGCTTATAGCACAAGGCTATACATGAGTCCAGTGGGGGTTATTCTCAGATAAGTGGATATAGGACTGCAGCCGTTGGCTGCTAGCAATGTTAAGCAAGATGTTCCCAAATAATTATTGCTAGAACTTTCTCCGCTTCCAAGACTGGGATTGCAGCAACTGCCAGTCAATCTTTTCTAGTGTTGAGCCAAGTGAAAGACCCAAGTTTTGTGAATGCTTTTACACCATTCTTCCATTTTTGTTCATGCAGTGGGGGCAAGGTCATAATCTCTGTTGACCCAGAAACCAGTTCAGTTTGTTATGTTTTGCTACACTGTGTGGCAGTAATAAAATAAAATAAAATAAAAAATGTAAGTTACACATTTATTTTAAACTAAGTTAAATATAATTAAATAATTAAATATAATTACTGCTTATCAGTATGAAAGAAAAGGAAACCAGGAAACATGGCCATATGCACATCTTGCCTATCTATGTTAGGTGGTGATGGGTTTTTTATATCCATCTCACACCCATCAAAAGCAAAGTTTTGTGATCAAAATGCAGCACAGCAGTAGTATTTTTTGCCTTTTAAAAGGCTTTACGTGTTACTCGCCATTAGATTCCATTACCGTTTAATTGTTTACAAAATGTTATTTCAATTAATATCCACCTTTCCTCTCATTTCAGCACTACTTTTTGGTGGGGTCACTAATCCTGCTCATCCCAAACACATTGGAAGTATTGATCCTACGTGTAATGTAGCTGATGTAGTGGATGGTAAGAGTAAACACAAGTTGTTTTTGGAACTTTGATTGCAAGGTGTATGTGTAATGCCTTGAACCATTTCTAATGGTAAATCCCTCATCTATCAGTCAGTAGCCTCTCCTTTTCCTTGTAAGCTTTATATATGCACTGATGCCACCCATGGTTAAGGGTAATCGGCTTCTTCCAAAGCAAGATATGCAAACTCACTTAAAATTCTGGTTAATTTGGGGGTCCCAGTCAGTGGTGATGCAGGTGTAACACTAAATCATGGTTAAAACTAACAAGCGAAGGGAAAGAATTGGTTCCAGAAAGGGAGGGAGCATGAAATTCCAGAAGGAGATGTGTTATTTATTCATGTTAAAAAAACATAAATCAAATAAATAGCACAGTCCCATTGGTATTGAAGAGAGCTGGTTCTGTAGTGTATTGATATTTCTTGTCACTAGATGGAGGTATAGCATAGTTAAGTTACAGAAAATATATCTTCAAGACATTTCTGAAGTTACTTCAATTTTCTATTTATATTTTGTTCCAATGTGATATATTTATGGGAGCCAAGAAACCCAATTATTTGCAGTTTTATTATTATCATTCACTGTGCTGGAAACAAGCTGGGTATGCATTTGCTTGCTCAAATAGGTTTGTCAACTTTGAAGCTGTACTTGAAATGCTTAATATCATACAACTCTTTCTCAAATCATCTCCCTAAATTCTACTTCCGGATAGTGAAAGATGCCAATTACATTTTTGTGCACAGTCTCTAAAATTGTTAACAATTGCTGGAGTAGGTTTAAAAAAATAAAAATAAAAATAGATTGCATGGTTAACCATTACTTTTTGGGAATGGGTGAAAGATCTGAATTTGAAAATACTTCCTTAAATCTAGGGAATACATTACATGCTTTGCTTTGTACATGCCTTCAATGTAGAACTGGCAAAACATGAAAATAAAAATTATTGTAGTTTTAAAACAAAGACTTAAAGCTACAGAGCAAAAGTAGAGCCTCACTTCTGGCAGGGATTAGTTACGTTGCTGTTCACTTATCCTTGGGTAAATAAAGTGGAATGAATGTGTTTTTTAAAAATGTGTGGTTAAGGTGAATAGGGCATGTATTTTTCCTCTCATGGAGCCAATAGTAGCTTTGGGGGCAGAATTTTGGTCTGAGAAATAACACAGAGGGAGGATGCATAACTCCCCATTCTTCATTCCTGCTTCTCCATTTAAGTTAGAAGCCTGTTTTTACGTCAGAGGATCTGATTACTTATATGTAGTTTGGTCCTCACAGGGCCAAAATAAGAAATCTAAAAAAATAAGAAAAAATTATAGCTTCTTGAGGTACAGAATATACGTATATTGACATTACTGCATAATTCTATAAGTTTTTGTTTTCTTCACTCACAGATGCCTTTGCAACAGCTAAGATGTTGTGTGAACAGTATTATCTGGTATCACCCGAGTTGGAAATTGAAGAATTCAATGGTAACACTGAAGTTCATTGCTTTTTAGCATTCTTATAACTATCTGGGCTTTGTGCGTTCTAATGATCTTTTATTTTATTTTATAAAATTTAATCACAACATTCATTTTGACTTAAGAGCTGTGCCAAAGTTAGGGGTATAGCCAAAGCAAGGGAAAGTTGGAAAGAAACTCTGCATTCTGTTTTCCAACTTTTTTTTGGCCACATTTTTTTTTTAAGTAGCTAGTAAGACTGCAGTAGGTGGATTTTTAAAAAATACACCTCAGAGTTTAAGATCCAAAGAGGTTTTAGACAGAGGATTGAACATGGCCAAATGAATGTTTTGCTTTTTGGTGACAAATCCCTCTACCATATTACAAACTGCTTTTCAAGCTCTCCCCCCCCCCCCTATTAAAATATGGTTTACCATGCCACATGGAAGCTTCAGTTCAGGAAACACAAGTGTAAAGCTCTCTTGCATTTGTGGATTTCGTTATCTGCAGCTTTATATTCTGGTAATTGGGTCTACAGTCATGGAGACACATGATCTTCTTAAACCACAAAATGTAATTAACTAAATATGATGACATCACAGTTATTTTAAACATAGAAAATCTGAGCTAAGTGTGCTATTGCATAGGGCAGCATTCTTAGTTTGTTCATACTAGAATTCTTGAAGGTCTTGACTACCAACTCTGCACTGGTTTGACATATTTGGTGTTTCATATTTCTAGGAATCAGAAAGGTAAAAAAAGAAAGAATCAGAAAAATAAAAAAGTATGATATCTTATACTAGAAAATGGTAATTTAAAGACATAATAAATTGAATTTTCAGTTATATAAATGGTTTCTGTTTTCTAGCTAAAGCACCGGGCAAGCCTATTCAAGTAGTCTATGTACCCTCACATCTGTTTCACATGCTTTTTGAATTGTTCAAGGTAAGTAGAATTGTCTCATGGGAAGGAGGCTAATTTTGCTTGCCTCCTCTTTGAATGCGCTGGAAAAAATACTGAGACCAAGCATAGTCTTAAAGATTGATGCATCTGCCCATTTTTGTGTGAAATGTTACCTGTGATCCTCATGTGCACAAATGGCCTTGATTTAGAAGAATAACATGTCATTCTTCCTTGTATTCTTCCACAGAGTGTTCATGTGTTAGGCGAAATCTGTAATTGAAAAAAGGAAATTTGTGTAATACATTATAGGTTTCTTCTCCTTTCATAAAGAAGGTGAAGTTTTAGAAAGTGAAGGTGTAAACAGGTAAAATTAGTGATAGAAGACTGACACAGTTCTTTGGTGGCATGTTTTATTCTCCCAAGTAGTCGATTTTTATGTGGCAACTGTGGCTACATATGAAACCTACTGCGTATCTGTTCATAGGGAAGGATATTCTTTATTATACACTGTTACCATGTGTGATATTAGGTAGGGTCTGCTGGGATGAGGCTGTTTTAACAGTTACTGATACTAGCAAACATTGTCGTTACTGCCACTTAATACAGATTGTTACTATCTATATTTTACATTAATCAACTGAGCTCAAATGAACATATCCAATAAAAGAACACACTTTGAAGCCATTGCAGGGCTCTGCGAGTCCACTGATATGCAGCGTAGGTTTTGCCATTCAGTGTAGTGTTGGGGCAGCTTGCTTTGTATGCTGGTGATCCTTTGCCCACAAGAAGCGTTACTATAACACCATTTCTCAACTTCTTTGTTAAATGTTACTTTTTTATTAATCCTATGTGTAAATTTTATGTGGATTTAGTCATATTTTTAAATAAAGAAATTTAAAAGTGGTGCTCATAGGTTTGTACATCTTCTAATATTGTTGCTTAATGCTTATTAAAAGCTTCAGAAATGTTAACAATAATTCTATTGTTTATACCCCGCCCATCTGACTGGGTTTCCCCAGCCACTCGGGGCAGCTTCCAGCAAAATACAAAAAACAACAAAATGTCAGACATAAAAAACTTCCCTTCAGATGTTTTCTAAAAGTTGTGCAATTCTTTATTTCCCTGACATCTGATGGGAGGTTGCCACTGCTGAGAAGGCCCTGTGCCTGGTTAACACTTCTTTTTCTTTTTCAGAACTCAATGCGAGCTACAGTGGAGTTATATGAGGGTAAAAGCGAAGGCTATCCACCAGTTAAAACCTTAGTCACTTTGGGTAAAGAAGATCTATCAATAAAGGTACAAATTTGCTAAACAATTTTTGCTGTAACATCTTGGGGAAAAGCAGCTTTATGCACTGCTTTTTCCCCCCTAAAAAAATATGTTTAGGGGTACTCTCATTTTCCTACTCATATTGAAATACTGTTCCTCAATGAGGCCCAAGTTAGATTCACAAAATGTTTAAGGGTATGCGTACTCCTGTGTCCGCCCCCCCCCAAGAACAAAGCACTGGTTTTATGTGGTAATGGGATAAGAGCTGTGTGTTTGTTTGCTGTGTTTAGAACTACTTTGTCAGAAGCCTAGTTTACAAAGAGGGAGAGAACTTCAAAGATTATTATGACTCTAGTTGCAGATAGTTATTAAGTAGGCTACAGAGAGGTGGTGTGTTTTTTTCCTCTTGGAAAGGAATCCATCCTCTCCACTCCAGTCCTTCTGACTAGAAGTTCAGAGTAACTTTCACATTTCCTTATAGTGTTTAACTACTCTGTGAATTGAGCAGGCACCTCTTGCATTGGCCATATCGTTCATTCCTACTCTGTGCTTTCAACTCTGTAGTCAGGAGAATGTTTACTAATCTAAGGAAACTTAATTTTGGTGTAGTTCAAAGCAAGGAGGAGTTAACCTTTTAGATTTGGAACAAGGGATCCTGAATTCACTTTGAGCCCTAGGGCTCTATTCTGTACATCTGATGTCAGCCCATAGTTTACATGGTGAATGATGCTTGTGGACAGACAGATACTTCCTTTGGTATTTATGCAAGTGTTAAGTAACGACTTCTCTATTATTAATAGTATAAACAGTGTCCTTGGAGGGCATTTTGTCTTAATGAAATTTTTATTTTCTTCTATAGATAAGTGATAAAGGTGGTGGTGTGCCACTGAGAAAAATAGATCGCCTATTTAACTATATGTATTCAACTGCCCCCAGGCCTAGTTTGGAGCCATCAAGAGCTGTACCTTTGGTAAGTTCTGTCCTGTAGGCTAATTATAGGCTGATGATTCCCAGAAAATACTTCTCATAGCTTTATGTTATTTTTGCCTTTTCCTGACACAAACCTTGTCTGAAAAACATAGGAGTCAACACAAGCTATTGTTTGATTGTCAACTGATGCAGTATATCTGTAGTAGATCCTAGATGAAATAATAATGATGGTCAACTAAAAACAGCTCCATCTATGAGGTGCAGAATATTTATGATTTCTTTTGATGCATTATGTGATTCTATACACTGTATACTAGATGTTTCCTATGATAGCTGAATACATTTATAGTGGGATGGCTTTCTCTCAAACTTCAGTTTGTTATTTACAGATTCTGCATATTTTTAAACAATAAAAAGTTGATATTTAACATGGTGTCCTCTGTTAGTTTAAATTCTGATATGAAACATAATCAGGGTGGAACAGCTTAGCACAAATGAAGAAATGTGCAGGCTCCCAGAAGGAAAATCACAGCCACTTTACTCCTGTTGTTCTGCTACTGTGCTGCACTGACATAAGTTATAGCTTGTTGTCCTAACACTGCCCAGACAAACCATGAACTGTAATCAAAGCTTGTCCTATGGTTTACTTCTTGTGGCCTGGTTGGAAGAGAAATATTCTCAGACATGGGGACTTCCGGGTTGGCGCCTCCAGGCAATGGCGGAGTTCCTCCGATCGGGAGGAATTTGCTCCGCGGAAATTAGGGTCTGACCGCCACGGCGAAGGCGGAGACCCACTGAAATCACAGGCGGGAGAAGCCTGTGAACTTGGGATTCGGCTGGCACCCTACTCGCAGGGAAACCCTGATTTGGGGATCCGGAGCGAAGTGGGGTGAGTGGCGCGGTGCTTCGAATTGACTGCTTCTTTCACGGAGTGAAGCCGCATCGCTGTTGCCAGAGAGCGCTGACTTTTTCCTGTGGACAATTGGATTTTAAACAACTACCTGTGAGTAGAACGGAAAATTAGATCCTTAAATTCATTAATTTGGCATCGAAACGGGAAGGTTCTAAACAGGAAGTCTGCCTTCCTTTTTTGTAAACAGATTGAAGCAAAGAAGTTGCAAGTTAAAGCCTTGGAAAGTTTATTTTTGTAAAGGATTAAATCTCCATCGGTTAAAACTATTAAACCCCCCTTGGAAGCAGAAGAGGGGGAAAATTTTGGACCTAGTGAGCCTGCAGGAGAGAGTGAAGAACCAGGTTGCCACTGCTCCGAGCCTGGAAATGGGCTGCCAGAAAGAGTGACTTTTTTTTTGACAGCTAGCTAAATAAGAGAGATATGTTGTTTCCATTGTACTCATCTGCGTTTGAAGGGTAGGAAAGGAAACTAACTTTATAGTTTAAATTGTGTTTGAGAGGATTGATACAAGTGGAGACTGTTTCCCTCTAGAGGGAGCTTTTGAAACTGTTACAAGTGGAGCTGGGGTTTTTCCAGTTGCAAGATAAGAACTGTGTGAAATAGAGACTGACCTTGGACTTTAAGAATGTTGACAGAAGGAGCCTTAGTGACTGTATTATGTAAGATAAGCTATTCGTTGGAACAGCTCCACAAGAAGACGGATGCTATGAATACCAAACTTGAGAACTTGGGACAAAAAGTGATTAATTTGGAACAAAAAGTGACCATTAATACAGAAATTGTTCAGGATTTGACACAGGAACCTACCTTGACAGGACAAACTGGGGAGAAGACGAAGGAGAATGTTGGTGTTGTTAAACCTAAAATAACACAAGTGGAAGCCCCAGTCTTACAGAGGCAAACTGAGGACTATAAGTGGAGGCCTTTTATGAATGAATATAGAAAAAGTCAGAATTTGAAGATTGGAGCCCTGCTTGGATTGAAGAAGGAAGGTTGGATAGACTCTTTCATGCAGAGATTTACTGACCTTTGGGTCCTGAATCTGGGTCAGGAGGTGATTGGAGTTGTGTGGGCCTTTGGATCTGGAGGAGCCTTGAAACAGGATTTGAGATATTGTATGGACACTGGTTTTAGCTGTGGAGAGTTGGTTGGTCTGTCGAGAGGGAATGGGGGCATGGTTGGGTCGGGGCCCCCCCAAGACCTGCGCCTCAGCACCCTCAGCATCAAAGAATATGAAGAAAAACTGCAGAAGGGACTTGGAAAAGATTTAAGAGCCTCAGACAGAAGATCTCCAGGTTGATGAACTATATGGAATGGACGGAAATGACTGGCAGAATCCGAGACCAGGGAGAAGAGATGGTGGTAGAAGATTGGGAAAGTTTAAAGTTTATATATAGAAATATTGTAAATTTAATGAGTGTTAGAAAATTGTTGGATTGAAACTTTATGGCTTTAGCAGAAATGTTATAAGGAGTTAGGTATAAATAAGTATTTCAGTATTAATGGAAAATAAGGTACAAAATATGTTAAGATATTCATAATGATAAAAATAGAGAAAGATGGAAAGGAATTGCTGAAACAAGTAATAGAAGTGGAATACAAAAAGGGAGGTGAGAGGAGGTCGATGAAATAAGGGAATGAAAGATAGAGTAATGAAATGGTATGGTATATGTTTGTAATTGTTGTTCTTTTGTTTTGTTTAGTTTAGTGTGTTAAGGTTGCGTTTTGCATTGTTTATTGTATTGTTTCTTCTTTTCTCTCTCTTTTTTTCTTTTTTTCCCTCTGCTTTATCTTGTCTTTTTCTCTCGCCTATTTTCTTCTTCTTTCTTTTCTTGTAAGTTTTAAAAGCAATAAAGATTTTTTTTAAAAAGAGAAATATTCTCAGACATGATGTGATTGGTAAAAAAGAAAAGCTAAGAGAGTCAAATCTTTCCAGACTGCTTCAGAATTATTTATTTAGCTGCTTGTTTTACCATATCACAAAATCCTCAGGATTTTGTTTCAATATTTGGTTTAATAAAGTAAAGTTCTTATGGATGAGGAATGCCTTTTTGCTGTATTTTTGTATTGTATTTTAATATTTATTGATTGAATGACTTTTATTAATTACTTGTTGTTGTGTTCATATCTTTCTTTTATTGTGTTAGATATTTGATAAAGTCCTAGCCTTAAAGGCAACCTAACTTTTTTAGAAAAACAAAATCCCGTGAAGCTTTACAATGACTTTGGGTCAGTCACTCTTTTGTAGTGAAGCAAATCTTTCAGAATTGTTTCAAGAATAAAATGGGTGGGGGCAGAGGGAGAGAGAATCTTACATGACACCTGAACTCCTTACAGAACAGAAGGGTGGCAGTAGGTGGTATCCAGCTAAGTTTTAGTCAGAGTAGACCTAACTTAGTCATGTTAATTAATTTCAGTTTTTATACTCGGAGTTAAATTTAGTTGAATACTAATACAATGTAATAAAGGTAAATAAAATGAAACTTTTAAAATCAATTAAACAATTGTAGTATTATGTTGGAAACCTAAATTGATAGGGTTTCACTCCTGGGTACTGGAATAAGGACAGAGCCATATTAAAGGATTGATTCCTGTCAGTTTTGTGTGCAATTACATGGCATGGATTTGGGGTCATATCAAAAAAGTTTTATTCATCAGCTCTGACTTCAAGCATAGAGATGGAAGATGACTCTAATGAATGAGCTGAGGGTGTGAGGGAGAATCTCTGTGATATACTGCACACTTTTAGGTCATGAGGTGGCCATGTCCCAGTTGCCTTGTGGACCATACTATGAGAAAAGAATCCTTTGAAAATAATTGCTTCAGTTCCTTTGCAAGTAGTCTATATGGTAGCTATTTTTTGTTGATTTGAAAGGCATTGTGTTCTATCAAACATACTTGGAGCACAGTTAGGATGTTATATATCTAGAAATACTTTTTCTGTTGACAAAATTGCAAGTCTTATTTTCACTACAACTTTCTTCTTTCTTTCATTGCTTCATGCTATCAACAGTAATTGATCTAGTAGAGTAGACTGACCAAAGAATGCGGTTCCAACTCTCGCTTTTTTCGCATCTCCTATGTGTAGAGACTGCTGTGAATAACAATCTCAAGTAATAAACTACCATCAGAATCTCAGTACCACTGAGGAGTGACTGGGATATTGCAGCACTAACCGCCACTGTAGAGATTCATGAAAGACTATCAACTTGCCTGGGTGGCTTATAGATCACTGTCAGTTCCGCTAATGTAACTGCATCCTTGGGAGCAAGACAAAATCCACATCCTCCTAAAGTCTCTGCAATAAGATTTGCTGTTCGTTAGTGCATGTTGTCAAAATGGCTTTGTACTATTGTGATTTTTCACTGTTTCTCAAATTCAAAAAACTTTTCTATGACCTGAAAGCTTACTGATCTAAACTGTGAAAGCATAAAACTTTGAAAGGATAAAAAATGGCATTATAATATATATTTATTATATTTTTGGTTCACTTTCTGTAGAATAGAATCTAAAGAAAATGAGAAATCAAACATGCAGTAAAATAATCATATTTAAAGCCAATACACATTAAAAGTATAACAACCTGGAAATGTGTTCAGAAATCGAAGAAAAGTCTTCACCCTCCAGTGAAACATAATGAATGACAAAGAAAGCTGCCCTTTAAATGCTATTCTGTAGAACAGGAGGCAAATCTTTTGTCCCTTGTGCTACTTTGTTGACAGCATTCAGAGCGGGGTGTCATTCTCAGTTATTAGAGACCAGAGAGAAGCATTTTAGCAAAGGCATTCTGTAAGTATAATTGTTTCATTTTTAAATCTTACATTATCCATTTTTTCTTTAGGCTGGCTATGGTTATGGTCTACCAATCTCTCGTCTTTATGCTAGATACTTTCAAGGAGATCTCAAACTTTACTCAATGGAAGGTGTGGGTACTGATGCTGTAATTTATTTGAAGGTAAATACAATGACTCCTTTAAAGGGAGTGTTATTGGCAAAGCTGTATTTACTTCTGCTGACCATAAAAGCTTCATGGCTAACACAGTGCTGGATTTAGGACGGTGTGGGTGGTTCTCCCATACAGGGTGCCAAGCAAAGGGGGCACTAATCATCATCATCATCATCATCAGTAAAGCCAACCCTATATATGGGTACCTACTCAAAGTTAGGCCCCAGTCAGGAGGGCATTTGAGTTGCATCAACTATGCCATAGTGCACTTGAGAGCATGCACAGAACAGAAGGTGAGAGCCCCCTCCCCGCCTTCTGTTCTGTACCTGCTCTCAAGTGCACTAACTTTATGAAAAGTTAAGGGAAGCAGAGGAGAGGAGAGTGGTGATCAGCAAGCTCTCGTGAGGAAGTAGTTTGTGATTCTGCCACCAGCTGATTGTAGATGGTGCTTTGATAGGCGAGTCTTGGGACAGTGTGTTGCGAGTCACAATTCAGAAAGCAATATTCAGTAATCAGTAACAACTGTCCAAAAGGAATTATTGTGAAAATAAGAAATATTTGGTGTTGGGGCAAAAATAGTCTTCGCTCAGGGTGCCACGTTACCAAAGTCTGCCCCTGGCTAACTAGGAACTCAGCTGCTGTGCTTCATGCTTTGAGTATGTGTATTAGAAGTCATAAAGACGGCTTTAGCTTAACATAATTGGTCTTGCATTATTCAACAGTAGGTAAAGCTGTATGTTACCTTTGATGTCATAAAACTAAACATTTCTTCACAATTCTTGGAATATTTTCCTAGGTAAGTATTAGACCCTTGAAACTTTTCGTAGCAAAGTTCACTCATCCTTTGTTTAATTAAACTCTTCTTTATAGTAACTCCAAGGCAGGTAGCAAAATGTTTCCAGCAGAGGAAACAGCATCTCCAGTTAACAAATATTGGGATATTGTATCCTGGATATAAACTCCAGGTTTGTTCTCCTTTTAAGTCTGTTCCTGAAACTTGATCGTGTTACTTTTTACCCTTTCTTTAGGCTCTTTCCAGTGAATCATTTGAAAGACTTCCAGTTTTCAATAAGTCAGCCTGGCGACATTACAAGACCACCCCAGAAGCTGATGACTGGAGCAACCCTAGCAGTGAACCCAGGGATGCTTCCAAATATAAAGCGAATCGATAACTCACCAGTGTTTTCTACCTGGATGGCAACACTTACGTTCAGAAATGAGTCTCTGCTTTGTTCCAAATCCCAAAATCCTCTAATCCACAGTAGTCAATATTTCCCTAGAAAGACCTGTTATGGGACTGAAAAAGCAAGAACAGAGGAGATTTTCAAAGACTGACATCATGCATTTTTGGTGTGAATTATTATAAATACTTTGCCAAAACATGCTTGGTTAGTTGAATCACAAGTGACAAAATGGATTGCACTGTGACTGCAGTTAGATTATACAATTGTATAGTTAAAAGGGTACTATTTTTTAAAGGTCGGTTTCTAGTCCTTTGTAAGAATTGGCAAAATTGTTTTGACTCCCTATTTGACAGTAGTGTCTTACACAGCAATATAATGTAACACGCATATTCTACTGTAGTTGAATGTGTGCATAAACTCACATTGCTGCATTTTTATATGGTATTGTGTAATCCTACATTTAGAAAACAACTGTGGGAGCTCTTCTGGTCTTGTCACCCAAACCAGTATACATGCTTAGTTCTTTCAAAAGTTATTATACTTCAAAGTGATTCTTTCCACAATTCTAAAAGTTCATTTCTTTAGTGTTTACCAAACTTTCTTGTAAAGCACTGAAACTTTGCAATAGCTGTCCTGAGGTGCTTTCTTTTTTAAATACCATAAAGAACAGTAGCATGCACATCAGTTTTGGGTACCTGAAACAATTCCTACTGACCAAGAAGAGAGAATTAATTTGGAATGTGAGATTCAGCACAACAAATATACTTTGTTGCAGGGAAGCACATCAAGAATCAAGCCAGTAAACAACTGGGGATCCAGTTAGATACTAAAAGGAGGTTGGCTTTAAGATATTGGGTCATTTCAAACCCATTTAATAGTAAAACTAAAATAATTTGTAAAAGGGTTTAAAAAATGATGTGAAACCTTAGTAGACTAAACATTTGAGACACTGAAAATAACTGTCTTTAAAAAAAAATGTTTCTTCCAAGAAAGGGCATTATGCTGAAAGCTGAAGACCTGCTTGAACCGAGTCATTGTCCCAATCACTACATCTGATGCTAAGGCTCTAAAGAGAGTAGAAGCATGGGTTCTGGCAACACCTTTTCACAGGAGCAAAGCTAGAGTGAGGAGTGAGGGTATCAGAACACCAAAATACATTCCTCGGTGTCTGTGTATTGTATTTGTATGTGAATTGTTTTGACAGAATATGAAACAGAATTTCTAATTAAATGCAGTTTGGTCTGTAAGGAAGACAAAGAGAAAGTTATGTTGACTTAAATTTTCAAGTGGCTTGTAAAAGCTTCTATACTATTCTTTATTCAAACACAGTAGAATGCTTAATTGGCAATTAAATCTGAGTACCCCAATTCCAACTGAGACATCTGAAAAGCATTACTTTTAAACTTACTGGGTTTGCATACCTTTGCATCAGTGGCTATTATATGCATGAATTTTAACCATGTTTATGACTGTTTGCAGTGTTTACACTTATATGTCTTTCTGAGCAATATGTTCAATCTTTAAACTCTGAAAAATATCCTCATACATGAGATCTATGTACATTTTCAGTGACTCAAAATTCAATTAAAGGGAAATCACCTTTAGTATGATTGTCAAACTGATAAAATTACAAAATATAATAACTGCATACAAATATGACCAGCATATAGATCTCCTAGTTTATTAGTGTGTAAAGACTGCCACTCTTATTTGGAAGTCATATCATGGTACAATGAGATGGATAGGATTTGCCATCAATAAGATGTTTGTTATTTCTTAGCTTTTAACTTGGGCAAGATAGGAATGGTGTAATCATTAGAAGGTATATTCGGGGGAGTGGGAATCAATTCAGTAATGAGTACAATTAGATTAGAATCAATTATTGCAAAAAAACCAACCAAAACACCAAGCAAACACCAGTAATAATACTTAAGCACATTTTGAGTGTTCACAATGCTTTGCATACTTGATTTCAGTAAAATGTGGCCATGTAGTTACAGTAACTCAAGCAGTACTTGTACCGTCCTTATTACCACTGTGTCTTACCCTTGGTAAGTGAGACAAGCCTATTTGAAAGCCCTGGCTAGACCATTCTTACCAAACCTACGACTAATCAGTGGTGCATTATCTGTTTCTTGATTACAGGATCAAAAAGACCTATTGGATCCCAGATAATGGGACCAACCTCTTCCTCCCAATGTTACATAATTATTTGCAAAATGGTGCATCAGAGATGATGCCTGGGGCCCTTGGTGGCTCAGGAGACTTTCTTCTTTATCACTGCTCAGTTGTAGACACTCTGTGTTGCCCCCAGCAGTGAACACTAGTGTCTAATTCTATGCTCTTGTGTGCTGATGCAGCAGCTAATAAAGTAGGTCTGTAAATCACATTGACTTTGCATAATAAGCTAGCACATTGATTAGAAGAGAGGGGCAAATTCCATGAATGTTACAAGTAAGTATGCTTGGGGGGAAATAAGGGGGGGGGGGGTAGAAACTGTTACAAATGAATCAACCCACATTGAATTCAAAGGGATTGAAGAATTGAGTCTGCTGATAACTTTTTCTTTTTTCTAATTATGATTTGAAAGTCACTTCAGAGTGAAATAAACTGAGAGGATCACTAACACTGAAAGCTTTTAAAGCAGGAAATGTATCCCTTAACTCTATATCATATATATTCCCTTAGGAAGCCACAGAAATACTGATGACTTTAGCAGTTTTAAATAGGCACCTTCTGCTCTTCCCTGACTTCGCTACACTGTGAAGAATATTGGAATATATTGACTGTTAAGAAACCTTACAGAGCGGTTTCTGGAGAGGAATAAAAGGGAGCTATTGTCTCGAAGAGATTTAAACACACAAGTATGTTTTTCTCCTGAACAGTTAATTGAAGGATTTAGATTAATCCAGCAGCCATGTCAAAATTGAGCTTTGCCACAGCTGTGTAAAAGACACTCACTGAAACATATACAGTAGTTGCAAATGGCTTACAAACTACAAAATATCTTTTTAAAAAATGAGAGATAAATATTGTGCCCATTTTATTGCTAACAAATAAATAAGGCTGCCTTAAACTTCAAAATATACCAGTGAGGTAAGCAATAAAACTGGTTCTCTCATCCAGCTTCTTTGTAGAATACAGTACACATTTTTAGTAATACTCAAATTTTGATACCTTTTTTTTACTGCTTGCCTTTTGCTGTTAATTTATTTAAAATCATTTGGATACAAGGCCCTGAAAGGTGCTGGATGGATGATACATTTTTACAGATTATACAAAAAGTTGGTAGTAGAGGTTACTTTGGGTAATATCCCCAAACTCGTGCCCTAATTTTTTTTATACCTTCTGCACTATAACCCAACACTAGTCCACTCTTGTGTGAACATGCTAAGACGATCCAGCAAATTGTGTGTATGCAGCCTGCTTCTAAATGCAAGACTGTATTGGGCCACTAATTTATTACTGGCATTAGAAGTGGAATATAGCAGGGCCTTTTCAATCCTGTTCTAAAACTATACAGACATGTTGGAAGCAGTTCCTCTTGAATTTCATTTCCCCTATATTAGGCTAAGACAATGTGTCAGTGAAGCTGCACCCCATCCAAATCTGGGGTCCTCTGGGGGTGTTCAACTCACCCAGTCCTCAAAAAGCAGCACATAAATCATAATCTCTTACTGTTCTTCTCTTCCCTCCTTACATGTGTTTTTATGGGAAGTTTTATGGTGGATGTGGGTGCGCCATATAGCTCATCTCCTTGAACTCTAGCATTTTCTATCCAAACAGAATTGGAGAAAGTTATCTGCTGCCCACTGGGTGCTGGGAGCAAAGATACAGCATCTGGAAGTATGTCTGAGACAGAAAATATTTTCCATATAGGAAAGGTTTTATAGGAAATGGAGCTGGCAGTGGTTGGAACACTAAGCTTCAGCTGCCAAAGAAACAGGATGCTGCAGGATTATCATGCCCATCTATGGTCTGTTTATCAAGAGTTATCATGTTTCTTCTTTATGGGCAGCAGCAATAGCAGTGCCAAACCTTGGCAAGTATGGGAGGAGGGGTTACCTGTCTTGGAACCTTCCCCCTCTGGGGACATTGCCCTCCCCACAATAGTCTGAGAGCCTAGGATTTAGAAGTATCACAAAGTTCCTTCCATCATTGCCTTCCCAGCTGAAACTGGTCTCCCAAGTGCACAATTTGTAGGTTATCCCATAGAACCCAGAGTTTACATCTGCTTTATAAACCACTTTAACTCTGGAGTAGGCCTGCTGAAATAAAGATAAGTTTGTTTTAATGCAATTACCTTGTAGTGAAGTCAGTTGAGGATGATTGCTTAAACAAGCCATTTATATGGTATTTTAGTTTTATTAGAACCAGACTTTGAGAAGAAAAACAATTTGCTGCATATTTATTCAGGTAGAAAGGCTTGAAAATTTGTAGCAGTGGTTGAACAGGAAGAGAGAGGAGCATGGCTCAACATGTATGCACTGCATGCTGAACTTCCTGGGTTCAGTCACTGGAATCTCCAGCTACAAAGGTCACAGGAAAAAGTGATGTGAATGACCTCTCCTTAAGAAATTTACTGCCAGAAAACTGAACTGAACTGGACCAATGCTCTGACTCTATGTAAGGGAAGTTCATTTGAACTTGATTGGATTACAGTATAAAAGAAGGGAATTCTCAAAAAGTCACTTTTTGAGGTGTTCTAAGCAGATGGATTTCTTAAATGCTTCCTGTAGCTAATGTTAGAATTCCAGATCTGCAGTATGCATCATTTAATTGTAAATGTTGCTTCCTTGTTTTTCACTGTGCAATAAAAAAATAAAATGAGATTCTTTGTCAGTTTTATGTATAGAATTTTTTGGCTGCAACAGGAAGCAAATTTGCTTTGAAGCTAACCAACTGAAAACTGGACTTCCAAGTAAACATTTTAAGATTGAGATGGCTCACACTTATTGACAACTAAATTGGCGATATAAAAAATTATGCATATTATATAAATTTCCCCTATATGAGTTTTCTGTCAAGATCCTCGGGATTTTGGTTAAATAAAATGAGACATATAGTCAAATACCAATACTGAAATACAAAATACTTAAACCTTCCCATAGGCATCTGATTGACCACAATGAGAGCAAATTCTTCTTACATTATGAAAGGTACATGTGTGTATAAATTCTGGCTTCTTTCAAACACAAGTGGGGTCTTGTCCCTTGCCACCCTTTGAAAAGCTGCAATTTATAAATGTCTTCATCCTTTATAACTGATGAAATCTGTAAGTATTTTCTGCTTCAGTATCTACCCCCAAGAACAATAAAACACCTTGGTTGTTGGAAGCAGTCCTGAAGTAAGTTTGTTACAATGTGAACGAACTTTGTTATGAAAGGTGCTCTGATGGTAAGGCAAAGGCAGAGTACTGCTAAGTTGTTTTTTTCCCCTCAGAGCTGCAAACATTGGAATCTTGCACATATTTAAAAGAGTAGTTTTTTGTGAAAACATTTGAAAGCCCCTTATCTCAATACATGCCAAAAAGAAGCTGCAGATTTAGGTGTTCTGCTCCCTCAGTTCCTGTCAGCCATTTTGTTAACGGACAGCAAAGGAGCTGCCATCTGGACAACTCCCGAAGAAATTTCCTTTGTTCTACAAACAGGAAGAAGAAGAAGCGGGCAGATCAGACAAGAAGCCAACATACAATCGATCACAGGTGAGCGAAAACAATATCCTTAATGAGAGAGTTGCAACCTGGCTAGATATACCTGCTCTCTTCAAATAACACTTTCTCAGCTAATTGCCTCAGGTTTTTTTTTAAGTATTATGAGATTGTCTGAGAGCTCTCCTAACTACATGGGTTGAACCATACACCAAACCAAGACATCTGGCTGACTGTAAGAGTAGCCGACAGTTTGGCGTCCTTTGAATCACTACCTCACAAGGGATGTCAACCTCTAGGCAGCAGACAGCATAAAGTGCTTGCTAATATTTCTGTACAGAAGGTATGACTCAGCAACTGACTGGATAAAATATTCTGAGAACAGTTAATGGAAAATTCACTGTTTTGGATAGGCACTGGCTGTGGAAAGCTTACCTTTCCAAATAATTCTCATACCATACTTGTACTATTTTGTTGCTGGATAAAAAGATTATTTCCTTCTGTTCTCGTGTGCCCTGCCTGTGTCCTTCTGAAGCAGTGTTGTTTACTATGACAGTCCTAGAGTCACAAGTGTATGTGACATTACTGGGGACAGACGCTGTACTTCTTCGTCCCATCTTGAAAAGGCCTACATCATTCTGAGGCTTTCTGTTTTGCAGGATTCATTGTTATTATTGCTCCTGGGGCCAAGCACCATCTAGTCCATTAAGTACGCTCATGTAAACTTAACTTCTGGGGTCCATGCTATAATGATCTACACTCCTTCCTGCAGCCCCCACAGTTTAGTTCCCTTTCCCTATTGAAATTTGATAGTTGCGTGCTCCTTCCTTTCTGGCACTGGAGCCCATAGCATTTCTGTTTTTTAAAAATGAACACAATTCCTGTGCAACACCAGGGCCGGCCCTCTGATGAGGCAGAGTGAGGCAGCTGCCTCAGGCGGCAAGTGCTGAGAGACTGGGAGGGCACAGAGCTGTGAGTGCCATGTGGCTTGCCCTATATCCCCTATACTAGCTGGCTGTCCTCAGGTGCGGTGAAAGATTTCCTTTCACCAGTACTGGAGTAAGATTCAACTGCCAATCCAATTGACTTCTGTATGTGCCTTGGGCAATGGTGCCATCATGTCCTTTGCCTCAGGCAGAAATGTCTTGAGCCAGCCCTGGTGAGGATAGTTGAGACCAATACTAGTTCATGGGTGGGTAGACACACACACACATTATTTTTGTTTTGATAATTGGATTTGAATAGAGATGCATTTTGTCTTCCTGGAGTTTGCTGTTTTTATTGAGGTGAGGAGCTGCAATGCATATGAAATTGATATATAGTTTGAATTTTTAAGAAAAACCATTACAAATAGTCTAGCTGATTGGTTACCTTTTAAAGAACAGACTATGTTTATTTTCATAGTTTATTGATTGGCATGGTGCCCTAAGTAATAAATAAAAACTATATGTAGGAAGTTTCTAGCTATGCTGGTCCTATGGAATCAAAGCCATTAAAATGCAATACCTCAACGGTAGATACCTTTTTATTGCTGTGAATCTTCACAGCTTTCCTCAAGGTAGCACTTCTGTTTCTTGGGATATCCCATTTTCCTAGCACCCATAACAGGAATGCATGGTAACTGGAGAAACAAACAAGTTTTTTAATTTTCCCCAAGCTGGTGCATTTGCTGCCACTCTGCATACTATGAGAAATGTGGCTGCATGACTGTCAGGCGACAGCATCTATAGGACTGTGCTTGTGAAATTACTGTTAGTTATAAGCACAGATGCAAACAAAGCTGCCTAATATCATGTTGTGGACTTTTATCAAAATGGCTTACTTGAGGCTTGAATTCCTTAGCACCAGTTTATCTAGAATTAATAACATTTTATAATATATGGTGATGATTTCTGCTACTGAAGAATCTTTCAAACTTTAAACATAGTTCAGCTGCATTCATTACCCATTTCTTATAGGAGTAGTATTCAAATGGACCATAGTTAGACATTTAAGCTAGCTAACATGCAAAGCAACGCACATGAAATTGGTTTCTTGTTTGCTTCTCTGACAGCCTGTTCTTGGTTCAGGTAGTCATGGGCAGCACGGAAGCCAGACCAAGGTAAGTAAACTACGAAGTGTGCCTTGTCCTGCGACCTCTCCTATTACAAGTGGTCCCTTTTGAATCCTAGCTACTATTTCTACGTATTAACTACTTGGGCAAAGATTGTACTGTGATTATCATTCGCTTGACTTACAAAGAGCCTGATTAAGCTAATGATCATCCTTATGCAAGAAATATTTTTTGCAGCTCTTTATTCATATTTGGGTACAGTATGAATATTAAAAAAAACTCCCCTTATTGGTTCTATTCTGAATAACATTATGCACACCTGAGGCCCTTCAGACAGCCAAATCAGAAAAGTCAACTCAGCATAAATCACCTCCGTAATGATGAATAGCTTTACATCTTAAAATAAGTATCAGATCACATTTGTTGCCGATTTGCATAAATAGGATTTTGTTGACACTTGACTTACTTAATCATAAATTGCAGTGCTCCGATTTCTGGAATGTCTGCAAAAACTGAAACTCCTTGACTTGTAAATTTGTGGACAGCAAACATTCTTACAGTCCTGGAATATTATTAAAAGGGTATGCTCTCCTTTGTTTTCTTCCATACTGTGGGATTTGAGAAAAAGCCCCTTAGGACGCAATATAGGTTCTTCAACTAAATTCTCTTGTTAGTGTTCCAGCCCATCAGCATTTTAGTGATCGGAAGCATGTGATAATGAATCTACTTTTCATAAGTGGATGATAGCTTTTATCACTAGCATTTAATTTGTTACATTGACTTTTTAATGAAAGAATTTGAGAAACGTGATCAGAGATTTATATAGCAGTGATAAAAGTTTTTCCCCTGTAAATTGCTCTACGGCATTTTGCAACGTTTATAAATTAAATACCTGGTTGTCTTTCTCGTTGGAAAACTGTATTTGCACTTGAAGAGGAAATAGTGAGGTAGACTAGGCTAATACATTAGGAATCAATGTATAAAAGTCAAGCTCACATCCACCTTGAGCTTTGGCTCTGGGAAATTCACTGGTTCCAGAAGCCTAAGAGCGTTTTTGTGAGACATTGCTTGACAGTTCAGCTTTGAAAAAGGGTATGATAGAAAATTTAAACACTTAAACATTGGATTTGTAATTAGGTAGACACATTGGTTCCATGCTACCTTTTACATGCTTCTTAGATTATTCTGATTCTATATATTCTCCCTTCTATCATGTGGTTGTTGGTATCTTTTATGTGAAATAAAACATATTCCTCACTTTACCATGCAGTGAGGTATTCCAGGGGCAATTCCATAACAAGTCTCCATTTCAGTGAAAGAGTGTCTGGAGACTTAAGGGACCTTGGTGAAATTTGCTTTATTTATAAATACACATACAGAACATGGTGATGACAAGTATACTCCTCTAATTAGGTAGTGTAGTTGCTGTCTTGTATCAGATTCCCAATAATTCCTGCAGCCATGTTGGCCAATTGCAGCTAGATTTCCCAGCTCACCCACTCTTCTCTGATTTTTTGGTGTCTAAACCACAGAGCCTAGGGCTTGCTGATTCGAATCCCCGTGACAGGGTGAGCTCCCGTTGTTCGGTCCCAGCTCCTGTCCGCCTAGCAGTTCGAAAGCACGTCAAGTGCAAGTAGATAAATAGGTACTGCCCCGGCGGGAAGGTAAACGGCGTTTCCGTGTGCTGCTGTGGTTCGCCAGAAGAGGTTTAGTCATGCTGGCCACATGACCCGGAAAAACTGTCTGCGGACAAACGCCGGCTCCCTTGGCCTATAGAGCGAGATGAGAGTGCAACCCCAGAGTTGTCCACGACTGGATCTAACGCTCAGGGGGTACCTTTACCTTTTTATTTATCACTCAGTATGCAACTTAAAAAAAAAAATTGCTGCAATTTAGCCTCTGCAGCCCATTACTTCATTGAAAATTGTGTGGGGTTAGAAGACCTACTTGTGATGGATTGTTGTCGGTAGCCTTGCAAAACGAGTTGACAGCTAAGTAAAATATCCCCATCCTTCTGGAAACTTCCTGGCTGAAGAGAACACTATGTGCGCTCTGATTTAGAAGAGATAGCAGCTTCAGGATAAAATGTAAAGATTTGTTGGACATGACCATACTTGGTGTTCCTTGTCTGTAGCTGTAATCCAATAAACAAGTTTGGACTCTCCATGTGTTTTAAGAAACATCTCTCCAATGCCAACAGAAATGAAAGGAATTGGGAAAATAATTCATTTAAATGTATGGTGTGTATGCAGCCGAAGCACATCTTTATATAACACCATTAGCACCCCCAGCTTTTTACCATGTACACTATGCATTAAAAGCACATGTGAAGCACATGACTCCCCCCCCCCAAATCCTGGAAACTATAGTTTAAGGGTGCTGGGAATTGCAGCTCTGTAAAAGGTAAAGGACCCATGGATGGTTAAGTCTAGTCGAATTAGACTTTGGAGTTATTATTGGAATGGTATACAAAGGATGAAGAGGTGAAATCGGTTATGATAGATTGGGCCAAAGATTTTGGATATAATATACAACTGAATGATTGGATAAAATTGTGGAAGGAAGGAATGAAATTCACTGCGTGTACCACAATAAAAGAAAATGTGATGAAGATGATGTATAGATGGTATGTTACACCAGTGAAGTTAGCAAAGATGTATAAAGCAAGCAACAAATGTTGGAAATGTAAAGAAAAAGAAGGAACATTTTACCATATGTGGTGGGAATGTAAAAAAGTAAAAAGCTTTTGGGAGATGATATATAATGAGATGAAAAAATGTTGAAATATACATTTATTAAGAAACCAGAAGCATTTTTATTAGGAATAATAGGAAATGAAGTTAATAAGAAAGAATGGAAGTTGTTTTTATATGCAGTAACAGCAGCAAGAATATTGTTGGCCCAAAAATGGAAACAAGAGGAATTGCCTACGATTGAGGAATGGAGAATGAAGTTGACAGATAACGCGGAACTTGATAAATTAACAGGAAGGATCCGGAACCGATGTGACCAGAGATTCACTGAAGACTGGACTAAATTTACAGAGTATATGCAAACACTATGTGATGATCAAATAACGTTTGTAGGTTTTCAGGAAGTTCTGTGAAAATGCAAGGTAGAAATATTGTTAAAAAATAAGGGATGAATAAGATATTAAGGTAGTGCAATATTAAGTAAGAAATGTGGAAGAAGTAAACAGAACAGAGAATCATCAGAAAGGCTGAGGGAAGTCAAAAAAGAGGATGTTGGTGATAAATAAGATGTTTGTTTTGTATGTTGTTTTTTATATTGGAAAATTAATAAAAATATTTATAAAAAAAAAGAATTAGACTTTGGAGTGCAGCACTCATCTCCTCTTTCTGGCCAAAGGAGCTGGTACTTGTCTGCAGGCAGCTTTCCTGCAGCTCGGTATATGATGGGGTCCGTGTGTGTTAAACTATGGTTACCAGGATAATTTGGAGAAAGTCACGTGCTTTAAATGTATGTGTGTAAGCAGCCTAAATGGTAAAAAGTGAAAGATACTAAAGACATTAGGCAACACAGGTGCTTGGGCTCTGTCAACTGAAGCTACAGCTTGCCAAGCATAAAATTGGCTGACTCCAGATTAATGATCTTGCAGCTCCCTCTTTAGCCATTGGCATATTGGTCCAATTCTGGTGTGTGTGCATGCACATGAGTTAAGGATCAGCCAGAGCAACAGCAAAATAAAGAAAGTTAATACACTTCTCATTGTACTTCGTTTACTTTCAGGTGGATCTTTCGGCACATAAACAGCCTGGAACACATTCAAGTCAATATTAGTTAAAAATTAAAAAATTTAAAAGCCAATGATGCCGCTCCCCCCAAAAGTTTTAAAACCCTTCTTGGTGGCTGAAGATAAGATTGTATACTCTGCCGTACCTGGGAATTGCTTACTGAAGTTTTTGTCATGGCAACAGAAACTCCTGCTCATCTACCAACTGAAGACATATAATGTACATATATACATATATAAGGCTTTGCTGCTGGGCAAATCAATTGCATTTGTAAGGTACTGTACAGCATAAATTAAATGGTGGTTCTGGTTAGCTTTTCCCTTTGAGAATTAAGACCCACAACTGTACATTCTTCCCACATCTCTTCCACTAACCCCCCATCCTGCTAAAGTAAATATCCTTACATTTCAACATTTCCTTTCTCATGTAAGCAGAGCTCTTGGTGAGTGACGCCAGTGAGGATCTAACTGACCACAGTTTGATTTATTTCTGATAGAAAAACTTGAATTTGTATAGATATGAAATAGAAACAAGTGTCCCCACAAGGCATGAGAGTAAGCACCTTGGAAGCCTGATGAAGGTTTTTAATCAGACCACCCTCTCATGCATTGATGTCTGTTACCCCACAGGCTTTGGCATTGCTAATAACGAAAATGTAACACATGTGGTGACTTATGTATCTAGTTTGTTGTTAAGAGAAGCAGACTGTATTTGTCTCCAGAAGATAAATATACAGAAAAAGCTTCCCTTGTGTTCTTTTGGCAGAAAGCGAACCAGCTACAGTTGCTTTAGTGTTTGGGTTTTTTAGCCTCACCATCTAGAAACAGCTCATGGTGCCTGGAGAGTTCTTATACAGAACTCTTGAGTCGGAGATTGAGAGAGACAAGCCCCCTGCTAGCCACAAAGGCATGCCTAGGTTGCTAATTTGGAGATGTGGGGAGCAGGTCTTCAGAGATGGACAGAGATCACAAATTCAGCCCTAGTTAAATATCAAAGTACTCCAAGCTAGTTTTATGCTATGTGAAAACACCTCTTTGCTAAGTGTTGAAGGCATGACGGGAGTAGATTTACAAGAGCTGTTCCAGCGTCAAATGGGCTGATTTTGTAATAAACTAATATCATGACCTTTTTTAGTTTCTATATTCTGCCCTGGATCCACACTGGAAATGCTTTGCTTTAGAGAGTTCAACAAACAAGTATGGCTTTTCATGACATGACTTCAAATAGCTGTTGGAGGTGTTCTTCAACCTTGGATGTTGTTGGACTACAACTGCTCTCATCCATACTCATTGGTTAAGCTGTCTTGGGATGATAGGATTTGTAGTCCAACAACATCTGGAGACTCTAGGCTGAAGAACAGCTATAAGGCCTTAGTGCAAGTATACTGAAGAGCTGTGGCTCTAGTTGTACTAGGGGGCACTGATACACAGTGCATATGTTCAGTGTGGACAGTTGCATATAGTCAGATAAAAACTGCAACTATTTGTCATACATGCCAGTGACTGTGGTTGAACATCTACATTATCTTGTATGGGAGAGAGACATAACATTAATATCAGATATTTGATTCCACAAGTAAATGAAATGGGATTCAACAGTAGCATGTGATATTCAGGCATATGGTTACACAGAAAGTTTACAACTGTTCACAACTGATGTGTATTTTCTGACATATTTTTCCTTGGTGCAGCATTGTTATTTTATTCTTCTTGTCCTATAGATCTATTGTGTAGATAAATCCTGAGAGAATGATGGGTTGGACCAGCTGGTTATTTGTTGTTCTTCATTCTAGTTACTGAAAGCTTAAACTTGCAATAGTGTGTATATATACATATATGTATATATACATATACATATACATATATATGTATATGTATATCAAGTCTAGAAAGCTTAGTACCTAACATAATCATTATCTGGATGTTTGACAGATAGCAATGAAAAGGGAGAGAGTTAATGTGTAGCAGCTTCCTTAGAAAGGTGAGCCAGTTCATTTATCTGTAGGGCACAACTTAAACTTAACCAGCTACATATTGTTATTTGTCACCTGCCTAACAATTCCCCTGCATTCCGGGGAAAGGAAGCAAACCCAGGAGGTTTACAGAAGGTCTGATACATGGTCAGTAGACTACATTCAGTTTAATGGGTCACAGATTATGTAGGCCTGCTGTAGGATCACAAACAACGTCATTCTCTTTGTAATATCACTTTTTAACAGGGGAGGAACTCAGAAAGGCTGGTGGCAGATGTTTCAGAAGTTATTGTAGGGAGGTTACAAAGGTATGGGCTGGCTTTATATAGGGAATATATATATGTTCTTCTGAATACCTATTTGCTGAATAAATCTTGAGCATAAAATAGGGGGCATGTTTTATTTTCTTTTAAAAACCGATTCATGCATAGGATAGAATAAAATGTAGTTGTATGCATAATTCACTGTGGAACTGTTAAAACCTTCCAATTTTACAAAGGTCTGTAATGAAGAGGCAGTTCTAATGTAATCTTTTTTTCTATTGGATTCCCATGGGTATTTACACATTAAAACATTTAACCAGAATGAAAAAGCATTTCAGTCAATCCCGTGAGACTGACCTCTTAACAGTTAACTTGTTCAGTTTCTACTCACAATCTTATTTGAGAAAATAATTTTAAAATCAACCCTGCGGATACTAGATGACTGGGTGCTAGCCTGGACATTGGCCTTTTTATAGATTAATCAAAAATAAATAAAATTTCCCAGATATGAAATAGCTTTCTCAAACATCAGGAAATAAACTCTTACAAAAAAAGAAGAAAAGAAAATTAGTTTTGGGTGCATTAGTAAAACATAGTAAGAGATGACCAAACAATTTGTGTTCACATTAAAATAAACTGGCCCTACAGAAAAGCCTGCTCAACAAGCAACATTCAACAAACTTAAGAGATTAAAAGTATGTCCATTGTGAAAGACAGGTTAAGTTCTATAAACATGGTTTGATTGGAGAGTTTATTGTTCTCCCTTGTTTGCACTGTGGGAGCTTTTGCAGTTTCCAGACAGTACTTTATTTTCAAAAGTTCAGCTCTTAGCAAATGTGCAATGGAGTTCAAATGTTGATGCATCTTGTGTAGCCAAAGGGAATGCCTCTTAGTACCATATACCAGCTTTGTTTGTCTGAAACGACACATGGTTCCCCTTCAGTGCCGGATTTCCCATAACTCTTCAAGGTGCTCAAGCAACAACAACTGCAACCGCACAATGAAGTGTTGATAATTGTTGAGAAATGAGTCAAATGTTTGCATATCCTTTCATTGTGTGCTGTTGGTCTGGCAGTTCCCTCTTCAGCAAATATCGGTGCTGTAGCTGAGATCTTCTGTGCTCCATTATCTGTGTGGTGCCGCATCCTTTTCAAGAAACATCTCATACCTCATTTACCCCCTTTATTCTTTCCACTTGACTTCTGAATTAGTGGGACCAATTGTGGTTCCTCCCTCCTCTTTTTACTCATTACCTTGCTCTTTCCTTTTTTACTTTTCATCTTCATCTCCTTCACTCATGCTGCTAATGGATGCTGAGGCGGCTTTTGGGGAGGAAGGAGGTGAAGCCTTTCTGAAGAGCCAGGGGGAAGGGGGAGATGGAGACCGTGATGGGGAACGCCCTCGTGTTGGACTGCTTGTGGGGCTTTGCCTTGGAGACAAGGCTTGAAGCATGCGCCCACTCCGCTCTTGAAACATCTGCTTCTGGAAAGCAAACAGAGAGGAAAATAAGTATTTTCTTTCTTTCTTTCAGCACACTAGCAGTCTCAGCAGCAGATTGGTGTGTTCTTGCACAAAGCTTGGGAATTACTGCTATAGAGACTACTACGAACTAATTTGGGAAAATAGAAGCAAAACAGTACTGGAACAATTTATAGGCGTTTTTATTTTAAGTGGACTGTGCACTCCTTGCCTAACTTCTAGAAATTGTATGTGGGCACAGAATGTATTATTTCGCAAATAGTTATTATAATAATAGCGTATTAATGGATGCACATTGCTGGTCTGAGAAGTTAGCACGCTTGGAACTATTCCTGTGCATGCAGTGTCAACACTGAAAGCCATGTCTGATATGGAAAATTAATGTTAATAACAATTTTGACAGTAATAGCAAGTTATCATGAAAAAGCTCACCTTTTGCAGTTGCTGACATGGACTTAATTTCCCCCCTCCCCCAGGACACATGGGCTTTACTGTCATTAAGCTTTTCTTTAGAACAATGCCACCTCTGATTTCACTCTTCAGTGGATAATTTTATGTGGCTTGGCACTACAAAGGCCTTCATGTAAAATTGCTTCTAGTTCCTTGCTCTGTCATTGCTGCCACTCTCAATCACACAAGAAACAAAAATTGTTTCCTCTTTGAACTTTCAGTCTATAAGTCAGTGTGCAGTCATACACAACAACTGCACCTCCTTAGGACCAGTCTTAGTGCTTTACATAGCAGCTTTTAGTGTGCAAAGTGCTTTTTAAATCCTAACTTGTGGTAAAAAAAAAAAATGATGGCAAAGGGCATGCTTTGTCCAGGTGCAAACTGATGATGGGCAATTTTAGTGCCGCTGTTCTCATGGTTTCATTATCATTACACTGTACTTGGAGTGGGCACCCCTTCAAGCAGAGGATTTTCCTCGATAAAAGTCAGAAACTTGGTCAACCTAGCCAGACTAGATTGATCAATGGTCTGGCAACACAAAGTAGCTTCAAATGTTCATACGATTTAATGGGTCCCACTTTACTGATTTACAAGCTGTGGCTAAAACACTGTGGCTTATCTATGGCTATATTATTTAAATCTTCCAAGTCCAAATTAACTACACACTGCCTCTGAAAAAAGACTATAAACGTTTCCTAATGTGTATCAGGTATGTTTTCCTAATATGAATATTTACAGTGCACAGAATTTGCAAAAGCAGTCTGTTGTAAATCCTGCTGCAACTTGTTGTAGCCTCTACTGATATTAAGGGAGATGGAAGTAAATATAAAGCACAGTTTAGAGTATGTACCCAAGCTCCGTCTGGCCCAAACAGCTCTAAAAAGTTCCCAATAAATTCTCTAGACTTCTCTTCCCATTTCTGAATGAGATCATGACTTCTTTCTTCCACTCGGTTCACAAACTCTTTCGACTTTTCTTCCACATTCTTCACTTTTTCTTTCATTTTGTCCACCTGGTTCTGAAAGCGGTATTTCTTCTCCTGGTAAACATGAAAATAAATAATTTTGTTCCAGGTCCTGCTAGTTCAAGACTATATTGCTCCAGATTATAGAGGGTACAGACAGAAACTATCACATTGGGGGAGAAGGGAATAACTGTTATCTGTCTCCAGTTATCTGCACCCATTTATTACTTGCAGCCTGTTTTGAAATCCTCTTTATGAAGTGGTATAAGTCCAGCACTGCAGCTGTTGGGTAGATGGCTAGTATAGCAGAGGCATGATGGGGTGACTAGTACAACATAGTACTTTAAGTAAGACTCTCAACCTGAGCCAACCTGCTGGCTTTAGGTGTAGTGGAGGATGCTGTCATGGACAGTATTGAACTACAGTCCAATTGCGTGTCTGCTGGGTGTCTCTACATGGAATGGAGGACTACCATCTTTTGCTACCCCAGATGCTCACCCAAAGGCATAAGGCAAGAGAAGCTGCGAAGCAAACTGAACTTTGGAAAAACAACCTACAATTTATTTATTAGTCTGTGGGACAACTTGTGACTACACAAATAATTGCTTAACTTTATGCGTTAACCAGGCTACTGTTTATCTTTGATACTGGTCAGGTCTTTCATTCTGTTCACTGCTGCTGTGCTCTTTTTAATCCTTTGCGCTTATTAAACACACATGGCTTGAGTTTTTTGATACTTCTGAGTATTTTAATAGCAAAGCTGTTTGGAAACACTATAAATAATTTCATCTTTTATTAAGCAACAGTGGCCAGGCAAATATGCCTGAGAAGCTTGCATGATGGGCATGAGGGCAACAGCATGCTGTTTCCCACCAGAATCAGGTATTCAGAGGCATACTGATTCTGATCATGGAGGTTCCATTTAGCTATCTTGGCTGATAGGAAAGGCAGAACCGTGTGAGGAGCTTTGGGTAGGTGGAACCAATGGAAGGTGTTGTGTCTTAGTTTAGTGGATAGAATTTGGTACTTGCATTCAGTTTTCTCAGTCTAGAATGATGGCTGACTGTAGACATTGGGCTGATGAAGAGCCGAGTGTGTATATATATATGGGCTTCCTAGACCTTGTCCCTGTTCTGGCATGTCCCTCTTCTGGGCAGAAGGTGGGTTATAATCCAATTTCGACGTTGAATATGACTTAAGAGACCAATGTACTTACATTAATAAAGCTGACATTCAACTCCTTAGCAGTGTATCCCCTCTGGAGGTTGCGGCGGGCATAAACATCATAATCACGTACAATTCTCGTAATAATATCTGAAGTTGATATGCCCTCAGTTCTCTGAGTTGGTACAAACATTCCTGATTAGAAAGGAAAAGGGAAAAGAGCAATGATTAACCTCCAACTGTCATATAAGAATCATTTGTTTAAGAATGGCCTCATTCTGGCCCTTGATTTTTTATTTTATTTAAATACTTGCCAAACTATCTGCCCAATTCGGGACATCATGTGTTTGTTTGTTTGTTTATTGAATTTCCTTGAATGCTTGAGCAATCAAAAGGACAAGTAATAATTTGCTTATTTCTAATCTTCCGTTCTCCAGTAAGGCAAATCTTGGAACAACAACCTGAGCGGTGTCCTCTACAAAGCTCAGGAATGGAACTTTAAATACTTTGCTCTTTGGCACTGTTAATTGTGCTGATAACAACTTAAAGAGATTTCTGTCATCACACAGGAACTTAATTTGTTCTCTTGGGATCAATATTGACCCCAATAAAGATGGTGGAAAGATTCCAATTCTCCTTAAGAGGATGTAGTGTGAATTCACTGTCTCACAAAAAATTCAGAAGACTCTGTGTAGAAACTAGCCTACTGTTCAAGGGCAAAATTTACACTTGTTGCTCTGGGCACTTTATCCTCTAGCCTCTGTGGCTCCTGGAATGTGGCCCAGAAGGGAATGTGGCCCTCAGTCTAAAAAAGGTTGCCCACTTTAAAAACACGTAGTGAAAGTATAAACTGGCACCCACCTGCTTCCTTTATATGCTTGTAAACATCATCTGAACCAGCAGAAGAATATGGAATGTCATCATGGGCTACAAAATCAATCTGGAATACATGGAAAAATGAAGAAATGAAATTAGGTTTGGTTGTTAATTTTAAAGGCTTGGTTGTTAATTTTAAAGCATAACTTATTTACTTGCTTCTACCAGCTTTCTTATGAACTTAAAGAAATATGCATTGCAGTAATAACCTAAGACATTTTAGGCTATTGTTAATTGGTGGTTGTGATTAATATGTAGCACATGAGATTATGGTTTAATTATGAACCTTTCTTTTAGAGAAATGCTTTATATTTGTGTAAGTGATACCAATAAAGAACCTGACGCTGGCTATAATCACTTCCACACATCCTATCGCTTGCACAGATTGGCTCAGCAATGAAACATGTTTCACCCTCCAGATGGGTGTTGGACTGCAACTCCCATCAGCCCCAACCAGCATGGCCAGTGGTCAGGGATGATGGGGGTTGCAGTCGAACAACACTTGGATGGCCACAGGTGTCCCATGCCTGAATTAGCTATTATGTTAATATCAGTGAACTTGCTAAAGGAAAAGTATTTCACAATATCTGAGAGTGCTTGCTTCAAAACACAAAGCCGCCACTAAATTGGGGCTATTCCAAAAACGTGGAGTGACCACCTATGGTAATATTATTGGCCATGATCTATTGTTATTGTTGAGCAGTGTTTTTAGGAGTGTGATGGGGTCTCAATTGCTTTTCCAGCCCCCAATGAGCCCTCAGTCCACTTATCTATCTGCTTCTGCTTCTTTCTCTTTCTTCATTTTTTTATTTCTTTCTTTGTTTGGTGGTGACAGAAAGAGAGTGAGGTCTCATTTCCTGCTCCCTTCATATGCACTTGAAATGCCCCCTGGGAAAATGAGGATTCCTCCCAACCTTAGCACCTGCATCTCAAGGAAAGTAGAGGGGAGGAAAGACATCCCTTGCTGCTGCTGCCATTGCCACAGCCAAGTATGGGAGGTCAAATTTCTAGCTTGGATTACAGTTTGAGCCAGAAAGGAACTAAGAGAAAGAGGGAAATGGTCCAGTTCAGAAGAGTGGCATGCTTTATATGCATGCCAGATTCATATTCTAAACAAAAATCAGCAACCTCATTAAGCTCCCCACCCCTTCCTCATCTGTTGAACAATGAGAGAAAGGCACCTTATGTTTTTCCAGAAACTCCGGTGTGAGTGTCCACGGAGCATCTCTGATTACTTCATCAACGTAGCGGCAGTGTCTGAGGGCCTCATACCTCTCTGCTTCATTCATTACAGTGAAGCCTTTGAACTCATGGGTTAGATCATCACTGCAAACTGACATACGCACATGAAAAAATCAGAACAGAACAGCACAGGCTCTGTAAAATGTAGTACACCTGTTTGGTTAGAAATTCTTCAAAGCTATCTTTTCTCAGTTAAATTGTCAAACTAAATCATACTTGTTCATGACTGTGAAATTAAAACAAAACAACCCCCCAAATAGATGTTACAAACAAGATGTAACAAGAGATGGTTGCATCAACTCTGTGCCTTGATACAGGCTAATCAAAGATGATTGGGCTGCAGTTCAAATTATCTGGCAGCACAACTGGAAAAGAATCAGATGCTCTGATTACATGCACCATGTACAGTAGGCCAGCATGCTTAAGGCATAAGACATCTGAAGGCAGCCCTGTTTAGGGAAGCTTTTAATGTTTAATAGGTTATTGTATTTTAGTGTTCTGTTGGAAGCCGCCCAGAGTGGCTGGGGAAACCCAGCCAGATGGGTGGGGTATAAATTGTTGTTGTTGTTATTTGCATTTAACTTGTGCTCATTCAGCTTTAAGCACTTTGCAAAATAAATAAAAAATGGGGCAGAAGGGGGGGTGGCATCCGGGGGGGTGGGACTTTGGCAATCCCACCCACCCACCATTGCACTAAGTGTGTTTTGACTATATTCAATTTTGGTTTCCCAGGAATGTAATCCCTGCTTAAGTAGCAGGTCTATTGTAATTTGCTATCTGCAACAGCTCCATGTGTCTTTTCTGCTGTAATTAGACTTTTCTAAAACTCACTTAGCCATCTGAGGCTCAGATTGAGATATATGTATGGGTCTCTTAGCTTCCTTTCCACTACAAGTACTGCCATCCTTCAATGCCAGCAACTGGTGAACAAAGTAGTATTATGCCCCAGCACAGAAGCTTGGATAAGATGGTTTTCAGTGCACCTCATGTGTTATGTACTGAAGTTCTCACCCTGGGCCAGCAGGGGGATACTGTAGATAGTTATGCAAATGAAGGATCGAAAGTGATGTTCAGTGATTGGATAGTTTGTATGCAAATGAAGGATCGAAAGTGACGTTCAGTGATTGGATAGTTTTAGAAAATGACAACAGTTACATTGTTCTGGAGCTCTATATAAGCAGGCTGACTGAGCTCCTCAGTCAGTTCTGTTCCAGCTTACAAATAAAGAGCTGCTTTGGAAGAATCGCTGTGTCGTCTGCTATGTCTACCCACAACTTAACATCATGCTATCATGATAGTTCTATGAGATTTAAGAAAGAAGAACCAGAAACTGATTCTTGATTAAATCTTAATTTAAAATTCTTCCTGATTTCATTCCCATCAGATCTGAGATTAACTACCGTACAGCCACAGCCAATAATGTACTTGCATTGGGGCGGAATTCAATACACATTATATGGAGATCAGATCAAAGGCATAAGGTTCAAAATCCCATTTCTCACAGTGGCTAAACAGATGCCTAAGGGAAGCTCAAAAGCGCAACATGTGGGCAGTAGCTTCCTCCTCCTGCTGTTTCACAGTGTTTTGCCTCTGGGTGGGTTCAAACTAGCAACCTCCTGAGCATGTTCGTAAAGACTGCACCACAGATATGATCAACCCAATGATAATATTTATTCAAATGCTGGCCTTACCTCCTACCAACAAGTAGCTATTAGGAAACAGAGTTTTGGCTTGCATAAGAGCTCTAGCATGGCCAGCATGGAAGAGGTCGAATATTCCATCTGCATAGACTCTGACAGGTCTGTCCACTGTGGGGGCAAGGAAACAATGTCCAGGTCAAAGCAGAAGCGTACCTCAAATCTGTGTCAGACTACTGTGAGGTATTGTTGGCTACAGATATTCAAAATAAAAAATGGGTATATTCAAGCACCCCTACTCCCAAATTTTGTGAATTAGTCCAGATTAGGACAAAAGAACAGAAACAATGTAGAAATAAGCTACCAGTTTGAAGAATTTACGTAAGTTAAGTGTACATCATTGGACCATATGTGTATGGCAGAGCTAAAATGCAGAACTCTCCTAAGATGTAAAGCATATAGAGATATTTTTTTTAAAAATAATACTTCCTTGTAGAATATTTCAGATATTTGGTGGTTTCCTTTAATATCAGCATGCCACGGCTGGTTAGTGAGTTTCTAGCTAAGATAGAAGTTGCTCCCTTTCACCCTAACATTTTATGATAGGATCAAATTTTATTCCCCACTGTCCATATGCTCTATCTATACAAATGTACTCTCTGTAATCTACGAACAGACAAATGCATACATTATAATGACTATCTCATATTAGATTAATTTCAGCATTCACACATTGACAATTCCAGACCAATATTGCGACTGTCAGTTTTCACTGGTACAAGTTGGAAGCATGGGAAATATATCTATATCTATCTATATCTATATCCCACTTCTTCTAATGTATGTGATCTACGAGTAGCAAACTTTCTTCCTTGTCCATGAAAAGAAAACTGTGCTTACAGGAAGACTCATTCCCTAAACTTAACTCTCCTGAGAATATAATAGACTGAAAAATATTGGTTCCAAACCTCTTTTTCTACCTAAAGACAGTCACAAAATTCAGCTGAGGTTGTCAACACTTACATATATATCACCTTTCACTTTTTTTTTTTACTTTAACATAGGTACAATAAAAAGCATGTGCAGCAATTAACTAAACAATTAAATAAACAACTAAGCAATGAAATAAACATCTTTTACATTTTTCTTAATCTACCTGCAAGGGCAAGTATCGAAGCTGTATTCCATGAAATTGATTTATATTTCATAAATCCAGAAGACTCACCTGGTGTTCCAAGGCGGGCCTGAGCAATAGTTAGCTTCTCATGGGGGGCTTTGCACTGGCAGCTTGTATCACCTGCAAATGGAGCAGGTGCAGACAAAGTCTAGAGACAGGGAAGGGCAGATCGGGGTAGGGTGGGGTAGGGTGGACCAAAACATATTGTTAATTATTGCTATGTGCATGACCTTTTTGCTCATTATCATCACACAGAAGCACTTGATATGGGAACAAAGTATGTTGTTTCAGTCTTGAAGAGATTTGCATATATATTTTTTAACTCCTAGAAGGAGTTCGTTTTTAGTCCAGCTTTTGGAAGTATGCATGCCGATTTCAAGTCACTCTCTCACTGGCTTCAGGCTGTGAGCAAGAGAGGCTTCATTCTTAGGATGCTGGTTACAATAGATATTTTTCCCATGTTTGCTTCTTCTGTACAGCTGTCAATATAGTAAGACTGGCATCTTTCAGAGGTACGCTACACAGCAGAGTATTTCTGAACATAGCTTTAAAAGAACAAAACAAAACTTAACAGCCAAGGATTGTAAGGCATGAGTAACCAAGGTGGTAGCCTTCAGATGTTGCTGGACTACAATACCCATCAGCCCCAGACAGCATGGCCAATGAACAAGAAGGATGGGAGTTGTAATCCAACAGCATCTGGAGGGCACCATTTAAGGCAGAGCTTTTCAAACTTTTCATGTTAATTATACACTTTTTAGACATGCATCATTTTGCAGTACAGTAATTCAGTTTTACTAGCAAACCGGGGTTAAACTAACCCCTTTCCAGCCCTGGGAGGAGTGTGGGGAGTGTTTGTGTGACACACCTACACACTGCAGCTGACACACTAATCATGTGTCGTGACACACAGTTTGGAAAGCTCTGATTTAAGGTCTTGTTAGAGACAAATATTAAGGGTTGTGTCCAGGGGCGTAGGAAGGGGGGAGGTGGGGGAGGACCGCCCCGAGTGACCTCACTGAGGGGGGTGACATTTGACCCACCGCCTGTCCTCGACTCCCAAGACTACCCAGAGCCGTCGGGGTAAGGAGGGGAGCTGTGCCGTTTTGCCGGCAGCATTTCCCCCTTCCCCCTTTGTTTTGACAGCTTGGGGGAGGCTTGGGAGTCACGGGCAGGCAGCACACCGAATGTCCGCCATGGGCGGCTCGCTCCGCCCCTGGCTTCAGAGCGCATGCACTGCTCTGGGCCCCCAAGTGGCAGTAATAATAATAATAATAATAATAATAATAATAATAATATATTATTTATACCCCGTCCATCTGGCTGGGTTTCCCCAGCCACTTTGGGCGGCTTCCAACAAAATATTAAAATACAATAGTCTGTTAAACATTAAAAGCTTCCCTAAACAGAGCTGCCTTCAGATGTCTTCTAAAAGTCTGGTAGTTGTATTTCTTTTTGACATCTGGTGGAAGGGCGTTCCACAGGGCGGGCGCCACTACCGAGAAGGCCCTCTGTCTGATTCCCTGTAACCTCACTTCTCGCAATGAGGGAACCGTCAGAAGGCCCTTGGCACTGGAACTCAGTGTCCAGGCAGAATGATGGGGGTGGAGACGCTCCTTCAGGTATACTGGACTGAGGCTGTTTAGGGCTTTAAAGGTCAACACTTTGAACTGTGCTCGGAAACATACTATCCCGTGCCAGGGAGGGCACCCTTCGCACCACACCCCCCTCAGGAGCGCACCCGCCCTGGGCAGTGTGAGCATATGCTCTGCTGCTGGTTGTGTCCAATGGCAGTGTCAACAGAAGGCAGCTTGCACAACCAATATTTTCTATTCCCCTTCTTGTGCCTGGAGCTCCTTGTAACACCAAAAAACCTTTCCAGAAGGCAGGGGGGTTAACAGCAGAGGATGTGTCTTAACCATCAATGCTTTCCCCTATTTCTTGTTAATTTGGAGATATGCTTTGATGGGTGAATTTGCTGCCCAGAAAAACCAACAGTTCTGCCCAACAGGGACTGGGAATAAACTGGGCTTGCCCATACACACATCCTCTTCAAGAGTCCACACCCTTTTCCTCAATATGATTTTGTCCTAGAGAGCTGCAGACAAGGTAACCAACTTTGTGGCATATGAAAATAATTGCTACTGTCCTTTCAGACAAGAGAAGGATTATAAGAGCCCTTGATCCTTCCTGTTTGGGGTGTGATTTACTATAGAAAGTCACAATTTTTCTTGCTTATGTTTTCAAAGCAGTCCTTTAGGAACAGAAAGCTTTCTTAACAAGAACCAGATACATCCCATTCTAGACTTGATATTTCAACTCTACATTGACTTCTGGGAGCCATTCCATTGGGCCTGAATAGCTGCTTAAGAAGGGATATCATTTTCTAATAAAAAATGAGGCGGGTCAGTCTAGACATTCTGCATTTTTAGATGACGCAAACCAGGAGCACTGTACCATGTGATTTTCCTCAAATGTGTTGTTTAGCTTTTAATCCCAATAAAATCTATGGCCCAGATGAGAAGAGCTAGTGCTGTCTTTCCGTGCACTAAAATATTTTTGTCTTTTCTGGAGCTCTGGTGTCATATCATATCCTTTAACTGCTCTTTAAAAGTCTTGAGAGCCATAAAAGAGAATTGAATAATTAGGGCAAAGAAAACATCTTGTTCATTACTACTGCTATCTGTTACATAAACATGTGGGGAAAGTAACATTAAAGGGATTTTTAAGCGTGTAAAATCTGTTACATATACCTAGTACTACTACTTCTGATGTGCAATGTACACTTAAATCAAACTTTAAGGGTTGGGTTTTGTAGAAACTGACTCACCATGGAGCACAGTGTTTCTTTTTTATTATACATGACCATACAGTCTGGGCTCTTTCCTATATTTTCTAATCACTGTCTTTCCCCCTTGTGTCTTTATAATAGTTGAGTGCTTAACTGCCTTTTTATTTCTAAGCAAGGTGAAGTTACACAACATCCAGTCCAATGTGGTTTCACGCTGGGATAAAGAGGAAAGTAGAGATGTTAAAACAATAATGGCTATGGTCCCAGGCCTAGAAGATGATAATTTTGACTTAGCTAGTAAAAGGCTGTTTCCTGGGAGATAACCTAAAGAAAATAGACCTGTTTCGTGGTCGTTTCTCCGCCCCCCACCCCCACTCTTGCATCTCTCTCCTTGCTTGGTAGAACAGGGAAAGCTTTTTGATTATGGATGCTTGGGAATTCTGAAAGGCCTTCCTTTGCCACCCACTGAACAGTTTATGCTAGCATTACAGCTTATCAGAGGGAATAGTCTTCAAGCCTTTAGCGTCAAAGTTTTCTTAATGCTTCCCATTGGTCTGGCTAGTGCTGCACTAAAGTTTGCAGCAACCAATACTTTATTGATCTGGAAGGATCCAGACTGAGTTCTAGCTCAGAGCCTGATGCTGGTGATCATGGGACCACTGAACCCAAGGCTTCTCTGAACCAGGACACATAGAACCTGAGTTAGGGCCCTCACAGGTGAATATCCCTAAGTCAGAGGAACTAAGTGCCTCCCACACTCCCTTGCATACCCTCCAACGTTTCTCCAGTGAAAACAGGGACATCCCATTCCATAATGATAATTTTATTATTTATAAAGGTAAGGGTACCCCTGGCCATTAGGTCCAGTTGCAGATGACTCTGGGGTTGTGGCACTCATCTCTCTCTATAGGCCGAAGGAGCCGGCATACAGCTTCCGGCTCATGTGGTCAGCATGACTAAGCCGCTTCTGGCGAACCAGAGCAGTGCACGGAAACGCTGTTTACCTTCCCGCCGGAGCAGTACCTATTTATCTACTTGCACTTGACGTCCTTTCGAACTGCTAGGTGGGCAGGAGCTGGAACTGAACAACGGGAGCTCACCCCATTGTGGGGATTCGAACCGCCGACCTTCTGATAGGCAAGCCCTAGGCTCTGTGGTTTAGACCACAGCGCCACCCACATCCCACACATTTTACTGGGTTGCCCCAGCCACTCTGGGCAGCTTCCAACATATATAAAAACATAAAAAATTTAACATTTTTTTTTTAACTTCACTATGCAGAATTGCCTTCAGACAGCTTGGGGTTCAGATAACTCCATACCCTCCAACATTTCTCTAATGAAGACATCCTAAGGCAAAGTGGGACATTCCGGAATCAAATCAGAAACCGGGACGGCTTCTCTAAATCAGGGACGTCCTTGGAAAATAGGGACACTTGGAGGGTCTGCCCTTGCAGGTTCAGTGGCACTGGGAGTGTACCAGGTAGGAGGTCATGGAATGCAGAAAGGACCCATTTTCAGCCAGAGGGTTCACACTTTAAGTGACTTTAGTTCCCCGAAAGGGGATGACACCAAGGGCAGGTGGACTGGAGGCAGAGGCTCAAAAGGCCTCCGTTCATTTCCAATTGTGATCTAAGCTATTCCTGTTGCCTTGCTCCATAAGCTCCCTCTGCTGGTTTGTAACAGGACACAAGTTCTCTCATCACTCCAGTGAGCAACACTGCAAGCCTATACCTGTCTACTCAGATTTAAGTCCCACCAAATTCAAGTGGACTTACTCCCACATATGTAGCTTTGCATAGATTGCAGCTTAAAATACGTGAGTTCTACTCACAAAATCTCTGGGTGTACATAGGGTATATGAATTATCTCAAGGAAGAAAAATGGAAAACAATGCTCTACTTTTTTATATAAAAAAATGCTTATATTCTGCCCTTTTGGTATCTACCTTATTCTTGCTTCCACTTTGGGTTGAATGTGTGGCTCTACTACACCTGATTAGACACTGTCATCCAGCACCAAGGGCCTTCTGGCGGTTCCCACACTGCAATAAGTGAAGCTACAGGGAACCAGGCAGGGCCTTCTTGGTAGCTGCGCCCACGCTGTGGAATGCCCTCCCATCAGTGGTCAAGGAGATGAGTAATTATATATATTTTAGGAGACATCTGAAGGCAGCCCTGTATAGGAAAGCTTTTTAAGGTTTAATTTTACTATGTTTTCATATATGCTGGAAGCTGCCCAGAGTGAGCAGGGTACAAACAATAAATTATTATTATTATTGAATTTATATACTGCCCTATACCCGGAGATCTCAGGGTGGTTCACAGAATAAAATCAAAATATAAAACCACAAAATATATAATCAAAATAAAAACAACTACCCAATAACCCCCCCGGGACAAAACCCACATTTTAAAAGGGCATAGGATGACAATCAAATCAACCAAAGGCCTGGTTAAAAAGGAATGTTTTTGCCTGGCGCCTAAAGGTGTATAATGAAGGCACCAGACAAATTTCCCTGGGGAGAGCATTCCATAGACGGGGAGCCACTGCAGAGAAGGTCTGTTCTCATGTTGCCACCCTCCGGACCTCTCAGGGAGGAGGCACACGAAGGAGGGCCTTAGAAGATGATCCTGGGGTCCGGGTAGGTTCATATGGAAATAGACGGTCCTTGAGGTATTGTGGTCCTGAGCCATTTAAGGCTTTATAGGTCAAAGCTAGCACTTCGAATTTGGCCCAGAAACTAATTAGTAGCCAGTGCAGTCGGACCAGGATCAGTGTAATATGCTCAATCTCTCTTGCTCAGGTGAGAAACCAGGCTGCTGAATTCTGCACTAGCTGAAGTTTCTAAACCGTCTTCAGAGGCAGCCCTACGTATAACGCATTGCAGTAATCTCACCTTGAGGTTACCAGAGCATAGACAACAGTAGTTAGGCTATCCCTGTCCAGATAGGGGCAAAGCTGGGCCACCAGCTGAAGCTGATGGAAGGCACTCCGGGCCACTGAAGCCACCTGAGCCTCGAGTGATAGCAAGGGATCCAGGAGTACCCCAAGCTACAAACCTGCTCCTTCAGAGGAAGTGTAACCCTATTAAGAGCAGGTGATCTCCCACCCATCTGGTCTAGGGAACCACCCACTAACAGTACCTCAGTTTTATCTGGATTGAATTTCAGTTTGTTGCCTCTCATCCAGTCTATTACTGAGGCAAGATACTGGTTCAGCACTTCCACTGCCTCACCTGCAGATGTAAAGGAGAAATAGAGCTGAGTGTCATCAGCATACTGCTGACAACATCCTCCAAACCTCCAGATAACCCCACCCAGCGATTTCATGTAGATGTTAAACAATGTGGGGGGTAGGACTGAGCCCTGAGGAACCCCACAGTGAAGGTTCCATGGGGCTGAAAAGCATTCCCCAAGCAACACCCTCTGGGAACGACCATCCCAGTAGGACTGGGACCACCACAAAGCGATGCCGCCTACCCCTAGTTCAGACAGTCGCTCCAGAAGGATACCATGGTCAATGGTATCAAAAGCCACTGAGAGGTTGAGAAGAATTAACAGGGACATGTTCCCTTGTCTCTTTCTCGACAGACGTCATCACACAGGGTGACCAGAGCAGTTTCTGTGCCAAAACCAGGCCTTAAACCCCGACTGAAATGCATCCAAAAAATCAGTTTCTTCCAAAAGTGCCTGGATCTGGTCTTTTGTAAGTGGTATATAAATTCTGTTAAATAACTAACTACACGACTGATAATGAAGTACTTTGTTAGTGCATTGCCTATAAACTTCCAAGCTCCCAGAGGCCACTTCAAATGTTCTGAAATTCATAGGACAGGGATAGCTAACATTGTGTCCTCTGGATGTTGTTGGGCTGTATGGGACTTGCTGTCCACCACATTAGCTACCTCTGTCATGGGGTGTGGCTTTCTCTTGTGACTATGCCCCCTCAGATTTTGTGTGGCAAACTCCTTGTGTGAAAGCACTTCCATGTGAAACCAACATAATTGAATAAAGCTCACAACTTTAGTGTTTCTCTGGCAACCATCTAAATATTCTTATATACATATCCCCAGCACCACTAGAGCTGGTGTGGAGACTAAATGTTGGATTTCACTTCCCACAAACCCCAGGAAGAATGGCCAATTGTAATAGATGGTGAGGATTGCAGTTTTTAAACTGAATCTAACATTAGAGGGAAAGAGCATATACAATTCTGTATCCTTATTTGTTTTCTAATTCTTTTTTTATCTGAAAGGGTTATTGTAGGCCATTTGCTCCTGTAGACCTTGCTTCAGTGAGCAGGGAGGGGAGGGAGCCTTGTAATTTTCTGATCCTTTTGAGTTTAGAGGCCCAGAATCAGTTGGCATGGGAACTCTTTCAGAATCCTACTAGTTCTCTATGTTGTCTATATTCTGAGGTTTCAAACACAGACCACAATTTTCATGTGGGATGATTTCAATCAAACAACTCCAATATACAGTGGTACCTCTGGTTACGTACTTAATTCGTTCCGGAGGTCCGTTCTTAACCTGAAACTGTTCTTAACCTGAAGCACCACTTTAGCTAATGGGGCCTCCTGCTGCCCCTGCACCACCGTAGCACAATTTCTGTTCTCATCCTGAAGCAAAGTTCTTAACCCGAGGTAATATTTCTGGGTTAGCGGAATCTGTAACCTGAAGCATCTGTAACCCAAGGTACCACTGTATGTACAAAGCCATTTCCTGCATTGTCCTATTTATTCTCTACCACTTCAATAAATGTTTCTTGCTGAATCCCGACCAAATGAAAGCTGTATTTTCTTGACCCTTGCTAACAGCATATTTATTTCATACAGGACTTAGATTATGGATAGGAATATGTACAGTCCCACCATATGCTTATGTTAGAAGTTAAAGTGTTTCATAAATCTTGATTCACACAGTGTCGCTCCTGTATTTCATTCAAAATGCTGTGGAAATTGAAAACAAACTCTGGTAATATTAATATAGTTCTTGAAGCAATAAACATTCCCAGATGAATGCTACAACAATAGGCAAAATGCATATGTAAGTATCAAGTTCACACTAGACCTGGTTCAAATCCACACTCAGCCATGAAGCTCACTTGGTAATTTTGGACCAGTCAACTTCTCTTGGCCTAATCTACATCATAGAGTTGTTGTGAGGATAAAATGGGAACAGGGAGAACTCTGTATGCCACCTTGAGCTCCTTGCAGGAAAGGCAGGATATAAAGAAACAATAAACAAATAAATATATTATTTTCATTCTTCTTGTCTGATGATGGGATTCTAATATATTCCAGGATATTTTTGTTGTGCATGAGGTTGCAACAGGAAACTCTTTAACAGTTATCATAAGCACAATTCAATGCAAAATGTCTGTAACCATCTCCATGCTTTAAACAAAACATTTTTTAAAAACCCCCAACTCATCCCTATTAAAAAGTTAATTTAAGTCATGTTCATCAATTATTATGGAATTTTAATAGCGTCTAAAATAGAAAGTTGAATGTAAGCATTAAATGATTGTTTAAACACTGGTAAAAATCAAAGTTATTATTCCATTTCAGTGTTTAATATTCTCCATGGGAAAGTATTAAACTACTGCCTACGTCACAGTGACAGCTTGGCAAATTGGCTGCCTGTGTTTTGCTTTCTCAGGAAGCAGTGATGGGAGTGATTAAACTACTTTTTAGGAAAGGAAAATGGGGAAAGTATTTATTGCTATGGAAAACAGTATGTAGCCCCCAGGGTACTTCGTATTAGATTGCTGGGGCATGGTTAGGATAAAGCTAGATATCCTTTTCATGTACCCCTTATAGAATAAGTAGCACTGACTCCCAGGTAAGTTGGCCTAGTAGTGTAGCTTACTTACTTTTGGAAGTGAACCCAATCCTATTCACATACATCAGAGGCCATTTTTTTACCCTTCCTAATTATAATATGCTAGTGCACTCATCTCTTACAATGCAAACCTTTCATAGTAGCTCTTATAGTATCTCAAGCATAACTTATGCAACGAACAACTTCAGAGAACCACCAAGCTGAACTCTCTATCCCCCCCCTTATAAAAAATCTGAGCAAAATTTTTGATTGATACAAAATGTATATGTGAAACAATGGTAATGAAAATATTCAAAGTGGGTGCTGGTCTAATTCAGAACAGCCTCCATGCAGTGAGGAAGGAATGCTTAATTCTATATGCAGCTAGCTTCCTTACAAACACAGTTTCTATAGATTAATTACTGAAGAAATGCAGATTTTCTCCTAATGCTACTGTCCCAACTCATATGCTCTCAACTGCTTGAAAGTAATATCATCCATTTTGTGCACACTGGAATCCCTGAAAACCAAAACAAAAAGTGAGATCTGTTACATTCTTTTCCAGTGTTTCTCTAAAAGGCAGTTTTTGCTTTTTTGATGATTAAATCCCTTCTTCCCTGCCATTTCATTTTTTAAAACAGCAGAAAGGCAAAGAACAGGCAAGGAGTAATGGAAGAGTTCTGTTGCAATCTGAACCTAACAAAGGGATGGGGAAAGCACCATTTTTTAATTTTATTTTTGCATAGCTCGAGACACTCAGTTGAAAGAGAGAAACATGCAACAATCCCTAAATTGTCTTTCTTAATGCAGTAGATATAATTAATACTTTGCAATACACATTTTCACAATATAGACAATAAACACAAAGAGCTAAAATGGATGAAGCTGTTTTCTAATTTCTATTCAGGCTATAAAGTACTGATTTCATTACATCCTAATAAGACAAAGAGCTCAAAGGGTGACAAATAAATGTATCCTTTTGTCTCTTACTTACCAGTCGAGGCTGAGGACATGTGTGTTCTATCTCCTCCATGGTTTCTGAAGGAAGCTCATTAGAAAGGGATGTTGGGATACCTGTTTCTGACTCAGCATTAGTTGCAAGCACTGGCATGGCCAGTGAATGCTGCTTGCGGTGATGCCCTCTCTGCTATTCTCTTCTCAGTCAGATAATGTTTTCCTTTCTCATGTAATTCTCTCCCCCGCCTTCTCCCCCTTCGCTTCTTTTCCTTCCCTTGAGAAATTAAAGGTTTTTCTTTCAAGGAGAAGCCAAGAGGCAAGGCCTCAGTTTATCACTATAACAACCAGCTAGCAACAGAGCAGCTGGTACAGGATACAGTATTCTGATTTGCATGGTGCTTTCTGGTTGGTTCCTGTCATCATAGTACCACTTTAACTGAGTTATGTGATATATACTGGGAGGCGGGCTGATATGAATGCCAGCAGAACATCTCTCTCCCTCACCCCTCTTTATATGGTGCTTTTGTAGTTTTTGGTACAAACACAGATGTATTTATGCATAATACAAATCTCCTTCAAAGCTTTATTGCAAAATACATATCTACATGGCTATATCTTTTCTGATTTTGCAAAAACAAAAAGCAGTCTTTATTTATTTGAAAAATAATGGTTTAAGACTTAATATTCTATTTCAGTACACGTTTGGATGCATGACCTGCTTTATTTTTCCTGAATTAAATGTGCTAGTTGCTCATACACATTTGCACTCTTGGATGCAAAAATGCCCAGTATATACATACATCTAATTTAGGATTTTGCACATTCCAGACCAGTACTAGCAATCAGCATGGTGATGCAAAACAGATTACTTACAACCACCTCTCAGTAAGTAACCTAACCCTCTTATCAGGCCATCTCTCACACAGTTTTTACATAGTTAAATCAACATGGGTGGACTTTTCCTTTGAATGCTGACATGTTAAACTGATCTGATGAATGATTTCATGTCCAAGCACAATATTCTAATATGATTTCCTTCCCAAAGACCTTTTAGCGTTTGGAAAATTATGAGCTAGATCACTCAACAGTCCAGATCAAACTTGGCAAAATAATGCAGTCTTGACACGGTAAATTTACATTTGTGTGTACAAATATCAGCAGTGTTGAGGTACTGAAAGGACAGCTCCTCAGATAAATAGTATTCATGTGATTATTATTATGTATGATTATTTTTATTTTTACATGAAACCTGAACTCCGTAGAAGGCCTACACTAATACAATAAATGTTTTGCATTCAGAAGGTCACAGGCTTAATTTCCAGCATATCCAGGTAGAGGAGCTGGAAAAGATCTCATCTGTAACTTTGGAGATTGTATGAACAATATTGAGCTACATGGACTAGTGATCTGATTCAGTATAAGGCAGGGTTTTGTGTAGCCAGTCCTCAGTTCATACTCCTAATATCATCCACACTTCAGTAGCTGAATTGTTTACTAAACCATATACAGTAGCTGTGTGCCACTTATTTTTAAAATCTGCCATGCTCACAAATACCACTGAATAAATTATGACTGCTTTAGATGTTTGAAATTGTGGTGTGTTTGCAAGAATCCATCCAGAACCATGAGCCATAGATAGCCTAAGAAATCAAACTAAGGCATGTCCATATGTAGTCCCAAGCAAATCTCAAAGCCTTCATGTCATTATATTCTGGAAACTCCAATTAACAGTCAGTTGGATGTAGTTCCTGTTCTCAAGCACTGGTAGGCAGGCAAGCGGAAAATGTGAGGTAGGCCAGAGAGAAAGAGTGTGTTTCAGGGAGAGAGCCAAACCAAGAGAGAGAGCAGCCTGCGTATCTAAACCAGCAGCCTACCTAAACTTCAGATGCAAAACTGAGCTAACATTTCCTGGAGGCTTGCTAATCCCAATCAGGCTGCAACTGGTGAGCAACAAGTGAAGCACAGACATTAAACCAACTAGGGCCTGAAGAACTCTGGCATGGTATCCAGTCCTAACAGATGGCGCTTATAGGTATGGAAGCTGCATTCTGGATAACTGATATATCACAAAAATAAGAGACATCTGAAGTGTATTTGGGGTTTTGCCTTCTTTCCACACATCTACTTAGATATCTATGACAGTTCATGTAATTTCATGTAGCACTTGTAGAGCTCCAGGTATGTGTCTGATAAGTGGACAATCTAGTAGATGGTTGTTTTGACCATCTTTTGTGCCCATTTCACATCACATGGCTTACAGGACTCATACCCTTCAAAGACCCATATTTATTTGACTTCCGGGTTAGCGCCTCCAGCAATGGCGGAATTCCTCTGATCGGGAGGAATCCGCTCCGTGAAACTCAGGGTCTGGCCGCCACGGCGAGGCGGAGACCCATTAAAAACCACAGGCGGGAGAAGCCTGTGGATGTGGGATTCGGCTGGCACCTTTTGCACCTCCCCTACTCGCGGGGAAACCCGGTTTCGGGGATCCGGAGCGACGTGGGGTGAGCGGCGCGGTGCTTCGAATTGACTGCTTCTTTCACGGAGTGAAGCCGCATTGCCGCTGCCGGAGAGTGCTGACTTTTCCTGTGGACAATTGGACTTTAAACAACTACCCGTGAGTAGAACGGAAAATTGGATCTTTAAACATCTTAATTCGGCACCGAAACGGGAAGGTTTCAAACAGGAAGTCCGCCTTCCTCTTTTGTAAATAGATTGAGCAAAGACGCTGTAAGCTAAAGTCTTGGAGAGCCTTTTGTAAAGGATTAAATTTCCATTGGTTAAAATTATTAACCCCCCCTTGGAAGCAGGAGAAGAGGGGGGAAATTTTAGTTCGCCTAAGCCTGCAGGAGAGAGAGTGAAGAAAGACAAACTACCACCGTTTTGAACCTGGGAACGGGCTGCCAGTAAGATTGACGTTTTGGGAAAGTTCATTGACTGTGAATAAAACGTACGTTGACAGATAGTTAAATAAGAGAAATATATTGTTTCCATTGTTTCCTTTTGCACTCAAAAAGGAGCAAAAGTAACTGAAAGATTGAAACTAACTTTGTTGCTGGATCTGCGTTTAAAAGGACGGATACAAATAGAAATTGTTTCCTCTAGAGGAGCTTTTGAAACTGTTGCAGGAGTGGAGCTGGGGAATTTTCCAGCTGCAGAGATAAAAGACCGTGAGAATCAGAGATTGACCTTGGACAAGAATGTCGACAGAAGAAGCCTTAGTGATTGCATTTTGCAAGATAAGTGCTTTATTGGAACAGCTTCATGAGAAGATGGATGTGATGACTATTAAAATTGATAATTTGGGACAAAAAATGACTGATTTGGGACAAGAAGTGAATATCTATACAGAAACTACTCAGGAATCGATTCAGGAATCTACTTCGACATGGCAAGTTGTGGAGAAGACGAGGGAGAAAGTTGTTGTAGAACCTCAAGTAATACAAGTGGAGAGAGCCCCAGTCCTACAGAGACAATTTGATGAATATAAGCTGTTGCCTTCTATGATTGAATTTAGAGAAAGCCAGTTGAAACACGTCCTGAAATATCTTTTGGACTCTAGTTTTGACTATGGAGAATGGGCTGACCTGTCGAGAAGGAATAAAGACATTGTTAGGTTGGAGCTTCCCCGAGATCTACTCCTCAGTGTCAAAGGAAGGAAATTAAGAATAAGATCAGCAGAAGATAAAGTAAAGTGCATGTACAAATATGAAGAAGATTTGCAGAAGGGACATGGAAAAGAGTTAAGAGCCTCGGACAGAAGATCACCAGGTTGATGGACCATATGGAACTGATAGAAAGGACTGGCAGAATCCGAGACCAGGGAGAAGAGACGGTGGAAGAAGATTGGAAAAAAGTTTAAAATTTATTTATAGAAACATTGTAAAATTAATGAGTGTTAGAAAAATGTTGGAATGAAATTACACGGCTTTAGTAGAAATGTTATAAGGAGTTAAGTACAAATAAGTTTCAGGGTATTAATGGTAAGATAAGGTTAAAATAAATTATGACAATTATATGACAGAAAATAGTGAAAGACGGAAAGGATTTGCTGAAATAATTAATAATTAGAACACAAAAAAGGGAGGCGTGAGGAGGTTGATGAAACAAGTTAATGAATTAATGAAAGACAAAGATATGGAAACATTGGATGTGTTTTTAATTGTTTTTGCTTCTGCTTTTGTTTTGATGTATTGTGTCTTTTGTTTTTTCTTTTTTTATGCATAGCAATGTATTGATTTGTATTGTTTATTTTTTCTTTCTTTTTTTCCTTTTTCTGTAATCTTTAAACTTTTAATAAATATTATTTTTTTTAAAAAAAACAAAGACCCATATTTATTTTTTACAAGATATAATACAAAGCCACCTATGGAATTCTCCCGATCCATGAGAGTTTCTAGCATCCCAGAGATCCAACAGCACAAGCATGAGGACACAAAGAAAGCTGGCACTGATCTGAAACAGGGCAGGTCCAGCACACTAGACATAATTGCAGCCCAGAGATTCTTGGTGTGAGTTCAGGACCATGGCCAGCAATTTCCCAACTAAGGTTACAGACATGACCTCAGCTCTAGCCTGGAGCAATGGTCGGGGTTTTATGGCCTAGCCAGCAATGTCTTTCTGGGAGCTCTATCCCCTTAAGTGACCTTAACTGACTACATCTTTAAGGACCCGTGTCTTGTTCTTCAGACACTAGCTCCTTCCAGGAGGTGAAGGCTAGAATAGTAGTGATTTGGTTGAATAACACTTCCCAAGTTGGGAAAGGTTTCTTCTGTTCACTGGAAGAGCCTGAGGTCCATTCCTTAGAGGGCAGTGGTATTTCACCAGGTTTTAGTGTATGGTGTGCAGGATCCAAGATGGAGGGCTCTACTTAGGAAAGGGCGGTGAGTCGGTCTGACTTCTCTGAGCAGTTGATATTTCAGTCTTAATACCAGGCCATGATAAATGTTAAGCTTTTGCAACAAAGTAAAAAGGCAACTCAAAGCACTTCCAGGCAGTGACTAACACCCACAATCCATATGGGGCTGATTATGCTTATTGTTGCTAGTGCAAATGTACTGGCAGGATCTGCATGAACCATTGCCGGCACAGTCAATATCCAGTACTAGATGGCATTTTCCTAGAGGGAACTTTTGCTTCCTCTCTGGAGCTTTGGGTACCAGTGGAAGCAGATCTCTGAAAGCACTTTTAGTTGTGGAAGTTGCTTTGACTCTAGCAACATAATTAAAAACAACATCCTTGGTGAAATGGAAGCTAAACCAGCTGTAGCAGAATGACTCATAGCTAAAGCTTTACAGATAAGCTGTATTATTTAAATGTCACTTCAGACAAAGAGGATGGCTTTATGCAGGGGAGAAGGGGGGAAAGTCAGAAGAGAAAGCAAAAAAGGGCATATAAAATGGACTATGGAGGAAGTTCAGAGTTTGTGAGATGTAGGAGTAACAAAACAAATCAAAACAGTGTAACAAAACTTCACCAAAATTCACCATATTGGGGGGGGAATCAGGACCAGTATTTTACTTATTTTTGTCTTATCATTAAGGCTGAGATCTTCTGCAAACTAAAGGAGAATAATTCCCAATGATTTTCTGTTGTATAAAAGCCTTTTTACTCAAGAGTTTTCAGTCACTGCATGAATATAAAGCATTTCTGTTGCAGGGAAATCAAACTGTCCCAGTACTCAAAAATTTGTTGTTGGAAATATATGACAAACTGCAACATATTCTTGTAGCTAATGTATTATTGGTGATGATGATATTTAGCAATTATATAAATACTTCGGAATGGTCAAAGCACCTTATTTAAGTTTATATACAATTGTGGCATGCCATTCTTGGGGAGATCCATCATATTCTCTCTTCCCACCTTCAGGTCTTAAGACTCACCAGCTTATGCAGACTTTTGGGTTTTAATAGATACTGCTGAAATGACATATTTTTCACTGGGCTATTCTGGTGCTGTTTTCCAAGTGTTTTCTTTTTTGTGACTCTGATATGGTATTTTTAGAACTTCCATTCTTGTGGTTTTAGATTGTGATTTTATAGTTTTAGTGTTTGGAGTCATTGCTAGCAACTTTGAATATAGCTGCATAGGAAAATGAGATGGAAACCTATTACATTAAGTAAACAAAAATCGTATTAAGTATCCTTTACAACAACAGCCTTGTGAGGAAGGTCAGCAGCACCGTGTATTTAGCTAGGGATGACCACAATAAAACAACAAACAGGCGCTTCTCCTCTGAAAAAGAGTATTTGATTGTGTTCTGGCTCCCACACATGGTCATAGCTTGGTGGCTGCCAAAGGCTTAATTGCAAAATTCACTTCAATGCTGAACCATTTATCAGGCTACATGGTTCAGAAGTTCACAGCGGAGTTAGGCATAAGCTAAGGCAATGTCCAAAAACTTGATACCCCATCCATATATGCCTTTTCTGAAGAGCAGGGTGGGCACATTTATTCCTGCAGTTGCCACCCCAAGCCATAGGACTGGGCAAGCAAGCAGACACTGTTACGAATACAGGATGGGTTTGCTGTGTCTGCCTTTGCTGCATCTTTGCAAATGGAGGTGGAAATGACAAGATTGACTCATTGTCTGATCTAGCCTCAGGTGCCCCTCTAGGGGTGGGAAGCAGTTTGCAGGCAGAAGGCAGTGCTGCATCAAGTCAAGTCGCTCTGTCACTGTACTCTGGATGTCTGATGACCAAAGTAGAGATCTTCCCTGACAATCCACTCTGCACCTCTTCAGTACCCAGTTCAGAACCTTCCAGACAGCTGGGTCCCTCTCCGGGATCCAGCTCCACATCCCATTATTCCCCCCCGCCTCTGCCCAGCCCTAACAAGAAGTCTCCATGGGGCCCATGACACATTGGGCATCGGGCATCCATGCCAATTTTTAATGCAAGTGCTAAAATTTGCTTACTAAGTCATAATGGCATACAAGAACGTTGAAGAAATAAGGGATGTCACATCACCCACTGCAGACTGTTTACCACAATGCAATCGTAACTTTTCTACTAAGTTTTGTACATTTAAACTACTGTCTCACTATTTACATTGGTGCCTTAGCTTGCAATATACTATAGCCTCAAATAATGTGTACACCCTTTTGAGAGGTGGTGGTGGAAATCAGTCATCGTGGTCTAAGACCCTAAAGCTGTATTTGCTGTAATATATATATCAATAAAGATGTACATCTTTACATTGCTACTTCACAAGTCATTTTTGGCAAAACGTACAGCTTATAAATGTTAAAATAAATAAAATCTTGTTTATGAGTAATTATCTGATTTTATAATTACATGTATGATTGATTTATTTTTAGCGGAGAGAAATAAAAGCAACACTCACCTTTCGCTGACATTTGTAGGAATGAATTGCTGCAGCTCCTTCTATTTTGCGTTTTTGATGGCCCACCATTCTTACTAATGTGCTTCTCTTTCACTTTGCTTTCTGAGGTTTTCACTTACAAACTGAGCATGTTTAAAGTTGTTCTGAGTCACCTCACCACGATAAAACATCGGGGTTTTTTTTTCCCTCCTCAAAGAAGTGGACAAAGGTTATGCCAAGCTGTTCTGTATGACGAGGATTAAAGATCATGTCAGCATAAGCTGCTGGTGATAAGACTATTTACAATATGACGACCCAAGTCTGCATGCAGTTTTTCTGCTTCTCAAGCCTTTGCACATTTATATGCACTTAAACCCAAGCAAAATCCATTGAAATTCAACTGGAGTTATACAGCGAGAGGAACTAGTATGGTTATTTGGAATTAAAGTTGTAAGAAAGAAATAATTAAGTATGTTGCACAAACAACTTTAGAACCAGGATAAAAAGGCTATTCTTTCAAGCTGAACTGGAGCTATGGCAACAGTTTCAGTTTGTAAAATTAACTGTGTCATTGGTTAACATTCTGGTGTTGATTGAATGAGAAAAACAGTTTAGTTGGCAAGAGCAGAGGAGCGTGGTTCAATACTCCAATGTCGTATTTTACACACAAAAATTAAAATGTTTGCATAGGAGGTTGAGTGGCTATGGAGCAAGATACACTCACTAATCTAAATGAGACTTTTACTAAGCTTGTTAACAACAAACTTTGACCTGCAAAATGTGGGCAGCTATCACATGGCCTTGAATGTGCTGTCTCTCTGCCTCAGTCCCCCAGTATTAAAATGGGGTCATGAATACTATTAAAGTGTGGCCTACTTCATTGATATGTGTTATGGGTCTTCATGACAGCGTCCCCAGTCTAGCTAATACTGTATTATTTGTAACAAAAGCTGCAAGCTTAAGCACAGTTACTTGGGCATAAGTTGCATAAGTTGCTTCTGAGTGAACATTTATGTATTTGTGCCATTTCTAGAACAACCCACTGATCAAAGTTCCCAAGGGAGTTTACAGAAATCTATAAATTATGCAAATACAATGCAATCCATAAGACAACCTCAATACAAATAACATAAAATCACAGAGCCAGTGTAAAACCTCACCCAAACCATCTATAAACAGGCAAGCGTAATACTGTATATAAAAAACAACCTTAAAACAGCAAAGACAAAGCAATTAATGTCCAGATCTAAATGCACTAAAAATTATCAAGATGTCTAAAGCTTTCCTGTCAACTTTCCCAACAAGCACAGAATTGAGATGGATGTTGTTATTTACAGTAGGGAATGTCTATAGCACAGTGGAAGTGTACATGTAGAAGCTTTCAGAAAGGAAGGCTGTAGCTCAGTGGCAGAGCACCTGCTTTTCATGCAGAAGATCGCAGGTTCAGTTCTCAGCATCTCTAGGTAGGGCTGAGTCAGACCTTGGAGAGCCACTGCCAGTCAGGGTCGGGAGTATTGAGCTTGATAACCAATGGTCTGACTCATATGGCAGGTTTCTGTGTCTGAAGTTCAACTCCTAGCAGCTCCGGTTAAAAAGATCAAATAGTAGGTGATGGGAAAGACCTCTGACCACTGCAGTCAAGAGCAGGCAACACTGGCCATTGGCCAACTCAGTATGATACAGTTCCAGAAGTATTTTTAAAATTAAATTTCTACCCTGCCCTTCCTCCAAAAGGAGCCCATGGTGGCAAATGTGAAAGCACCAGGAAAAAGTAGCCAAAATGTTAAATGTGCAGGTGCATGTATGTGCTTGTTTAGTCTATTATTATTATTATTAAAAATAGAAACACTTTGGAGTGTGTGGAGAATTGCAACTGTGTCACACAGGAATGGAGGTTTACCCCATTTAGATGGAAATAACCTTGTTGAACCTGCCACTTTTCTTTAGAATGAAAGCCATTGTCTTGTTTACAGTGGCCTATTGAGGTTGCATACACACTGACTATATTTTAAAAGCACATTCCCCAGACCCAAATAATTCTGGGTATTGTAGTTTGTTCAGAGTTACTGGGAATTGTACTGGTGAGGGATAAACCATAGTGCCTATAATTCTTTGAGGGAAGGAATGTGCTTTGAATGTGCTTTAAAGGTATAGTGTGCATGTAGAGCTGGACTAGTACCACATACTGTACTGTAAAACCATTTTCACATTAAGTTATGCTAGAAATAATTAGCAGCAAGAATTGCTATATAACTACATATAACAAAAGTTATAGATAAGCCCCCTGCAATAGGCTCTACCAGACTTATTATTTACTTTATGTAATGCAAGCATCCAAACATTATTTAAAGGAAACATGGGCACCCCTGCCACAAACAAATAATAAAACGACCACAATTCAAGCAACGCATCGGCAGGTAAAAAATAAACCAAATAAGAGTCAAAATTTTAGTCTTTAAAGCTAAAAATTCAAACCCGTTCCACGCATGGGAAGTAAAAGTCCAAAGATGCGCAAGAAATGACATTAATTCTATTTACAAATCTAGTTGCCTCTTTTAGGCATGAAGCAAGGTAACTTAGGGTTTGCAAACATACTGCAGCCATAATTCGCCCCTGTCCGTATCTTTTTATCCCACCACATTCGGAATGCACGAAAGTACAAAGAAGGAAACGATGCACAGCTTTCCATCACCGTCGCCGTGCGCGCGCATTCACACACCCCCTCCCTTCCCTCCTCCCCAACCCGCCGCCTCCCCGAAGCAGCCAGCCGAGGTGCCGCTCAGCCACTCTTATGGCTCTTTCCCTTCGACCCTGAAGCGGAATAGGAAGGACGGATGTCGTCACCGCGGCTTCTGATTGGCTGCTCGCCTGGCCGGGGCACTTGGGTCTCCTTTCTCGCGCCACTTTCAGGCGCTTTGGCGCGAGAGCGTGGAGTTGCGGGCCGGGTTTGGAGGCGCTGCGGGCGGCAGTCTGCTCCCTCTCCGCCATGGATTTGAGCGAGAGCCCGCGCGACGGGGCTGGCGACGGCTGCCATGGAGGTGAGAGGGAGGCGGCGCCGGGTTGCGAGGAATGCGGCGGCGGGGCGGGGGAGGAAGGGAGCAAGGGGCGAAGGAGGGAGGCAGCGCAGGGCCAGGTAAGTGTGGAGTCCCGGGCGGCAGAAGCTGCAACCGCGCGTGGTTGTTTGTCATTTGGGAAACCCGTTGACTTGAGGCTAAACCACTGCAAACGGGGAAGGTTGAGTTGGGGGCAAGCGTCCTGGATGGAGAGAGAAAGGCGGGACAAAGACATGTACTGGTATGTTTACCTAGAAGTAAGTCACACTGGTTTCTGTGGTGCTTGCTCTCGGGGATGTATGTGGGGATAGTGTTTCTTCTTCCTGTGACACCTTTCATTTGCCACCAAAAACGCCAGTTACAAACCTTGACATTTTTCATTTAAATGGTGTACATGGTTCAATAGGAAGCTAAAAGAAACACACCTTTGCAGGTGCCCATTGGATGTCTTCCTCTTAACAAACCTTTGAAGTGGAGATTCTTATCTGAGTCTTTATTTGCATTGGACTAAAAAATTTTGTGTGTGTGTGTGTGTATGTGTGTGTGTTAGATATATAACATAATATAATAATATGTATTGTTAAGTTTGGGCTGTTTCCCCAAATGGCCAGTGACTGGAGACAGCACCCCTGCAGCATTGCTCTTTTAAGATGTAGGCTGGATAGAGTTAGGGTAATTGTGAAAGGCAAACGAACAGAGGCAGAGGCTCATCTGCTAGTTGGTTTAGCTACCTCACAAGGGAGTTGTGAGGGAAGCATGGAACACGAAAATGTTGCTGCTGCTTCCCTGTTCTCTTCAGGGTTACATAGGTTCTCCTCTCTAAAGTTAAAAAAAGAGAATTGGTGACTTGAAAGAGTTTTTATTTTGCTGAGGAGTTGGGTAAGAAGTGTCTTAAAGTCGGGTTTGTGAGATATTATGTGTAAATTGGGGGGACATGGGGAAGAGCACAAAGGTTTGATGAAATGAGAGGGGAGTGACTTTGCAACATTGCTGTCCAATAAAGCGTGGAGCAAATGCAGTAGAAAATTCCTTTCCTCTCCTGAAAAAGTATCTAGGTTGTTGAAATGTGGGCCCATAAAAGTTATTAAGGATGTAATCTTGTAACCTTCACATCAGAGAGAGCGAGAGCATGCTCCACAAACAAAGAGGGGCTTCTGTCAAGGTCAGCATGCAAAATATTACACTGTAGTTCACAAATATTACTTGCCTGGCTGCCCACACATTTCCTGGCCTGGTGCCCGTCAGATGTTTTGGACTACAATTACCATCTGTCCTAGCTGATAGGAATTGCAGTTCAAAACATCTGGAGGGCACCAGATTGGGAAAGCTATGGTAGACCTTTTAAGCATATTGATGGCCTGGAAATGGGTGGGGGTGGGAGGGCCAGCTATCCTTAGTTGACAACTGCTTTCTAGCCTGATTGTCTGTGGCACGAATCACCTCCAGGCAATCAAGCAAGAGGCTATTTTCAAGCCTGCAGCAGTGTGTGTAATAATTGCTCAAAATGAAAATGCTTTTTGTGTTTTAAAGCTGACAGCAATACTTAGATGAGCCTTGATTTTCTCTCCAAAGATCTTTTGAATGCTTTTAGAAGGAATCATTTATGGAGAACATGATGGTGATACATGGAAATACGTTTCAATTGTAATCTGTCATGGAGAGAAGATTAATGTTAAGGTTTTACACTTTCCTAGTACTTCTAATTAGTACTGTTCTATAACTGTAATTGTTTAGTGATGGCAGATATTGCTGTGTCTGCAAACAGCAAAAAAAGCTTTGCCTCTGCATTTTTATGCTTATGAATACTTATGTATTCATCTGACTTAATGGCTTCACTTTTTTATTTTTAAAAAACCCTGCTTTTAATGTCTACAAATCTTTAGGGGTTTTTCTGCACAATCCTAAGCTTTTCTGTTTTGAAGCCTCATAGAGTTCAATATAACATTCTCCCATTTATGTAGACTTTTATGTGCAATTTGGTCCATAAAATTAGCAAAACAGAAATGAATTTCATTTAGATTGCTGTTTTGATAAATGACAGCAAGGATATATTGATAGTAATCATTGATGATGCTTAAACTAATGCAAGCAATATTTGGGAAACGCTTACTTAACTTGGATTAGATGGGTGTCAAACCTACTTGCTTGAACAGCAAATGGTAACCTTCTCTGAGTGTAAAGTGTGAATTAACTCTCTCTCTCTGTGTGTGTGCGCAGCAGGGATAAAGGTACTAGCGATATCTTCTTCTTCTGCTGTTTCAGCTGCCTTCCCTGTGCATTTTAGAGCTTTACATAATTAGGGTTCTAAAATATGTGGGAAGCCTTCATGAGTAAAAAGGTGCCCTGCTTCTGACAGTCAGGTAAGTCAGAAGGTGACTGAAATGGCAACAGAGATTAGCCCTTCTGCCCTTCCCCTGTGCCTGAATAGGGCTATTGTTAAAAAGCAATTTGAGCCAAAGGCTGAAAATATTACCTGAACAGTTGCAAATGTGAGGAGATTTTTGTATGGGGGGACTGTCACCTGCGGGACAAGGCACCAAGATAAGGTTGCCTTCCCAAAGCAACATTGAACTAAATAGTTCATAATATAAAAAGTGTTAAGACACTTGTACAGTGATTAAAACATATTTTTTTGTAAGCTAGAGTTGGTAATTAACAATATTTATTCTTTCAAATATGAATAGCTCATGTAAATAGAAATGAATAAATATTTCAAATTCTTAGGCTCCAGCATATGTTGCTTGAAAGCTCTGTGAAGGCCTCATGCATCATAGAGACTTTTCACTACTCTTGTGTATGTGTGATATGTCCGTACAAGCTGAAAATTGGAGGAGATGAAGTTTCATTTAGTAAAAAAAGTGAAAATGTAGGCCTTGCTAATTTTATGCTCCATGGATACCTCAGAAGCTGTTAAAATACCAAGAATGTTTGATCTGAAGGATTTAACATGGAAGCCCTGCCAATTCACAGGGAAGACTTTTTTTTATTTTATCATCTATATAAATCCATTTATTTGCTTTTACTTTGTTTTGTGAAAGTGTCATATTCTCAGGATTAATTTTCTGGTGTATTGAGAAGCTATATTTTTGTGGTTTTTTTTAAAGCAGGACTCGTTTATTTATTATTAACTTCATATTATGCTTAATGCTGCAATGCAAATACAAGCTGGCTACTTCTGAGTAAACAACACAGTAGACCTGGTTTGCATGTAATGCTAAGCCAAACCATGGTTTAGCACAGGTGCATGGGAGTCTGTAGGCTCCCAGACCACTTTGCTGCTTCTCTGGTCCTGCTGCTGTAAGCCAAGCCATGGCCCGGCCCGGCATGTCATCCAAACCTGAGCCTGTGGTTTGTCTCACTCCAGACAAACCATGAAGCACAACCAAGTCTTGTCCTTGGCTTACAATTCATGGCCTGTCTGAAAGAGACAAACCATGAAAGCAGATTCAAAAATTATGCAAAGTCAAACCATGGCCCGGGAAGATGGTTTTTGTTTTTGTTTTGCTGTGCTAGCTGAGAGGCCCAGCTTGGGCCCATAGCAGATAAGTAGACAGGCTTTAGTTTAGAGCTTTGGTCAGCTCAGCTCCACCCCCAAAACACCCTGTGTTTATTCTGGCTACTGCCTTCCTGTGTTTTTGGCAGGCACAGCTGGTGAAGCTCCCCTTGGTTGGAACAGCTGAGCAGAGTTATATGTTGGGACTGTTGGTTTGCAAGCCCCCTCCACAGAGGCTGGCCCCTCTCACTGTCCTCGGCGCTTGCTTACCGGTAACCTCCTCTGGCTGATACCTCGGACAGACCAGGGAGATTTTGATAGGCAACATTTTCCCAAGCGTGGGTAAAATGCACAACCCCTCCCTCCTGCTTCCGCAGGGGAAAGAAAATAAGTCAGAAATCTATTTACATGATATTTATTTCTGACATTACAGCACTAGAGAAAAACACATCCTTTCAGTCCAGTTCTTCTAGCACGTCTGACAAACTTCCTGAACATGCGCAGTCGGAAGGTTTCAAGTTACACTCTTCACAAAGACTTATCCAGCCTGTGAACGTCCTGGGAAATTCTTCTTTCCCACAGATAGGCACTTCATGTGATGTCAACAATCTGGGTGTCTGCAGCTGTGATGTTTCCATATACTGACAGGGACTCCTGCTACATCCAACTCTCCTCCACTGTGGAGGATTAGGGCTTTGGCATGTTTTGTCTCAGTGCAATCCTCATACAGTGGTACTTCGGGTTACATACGCTTCAGGTTCCATACGCTTCAGGTTACAGACTCCGCTAACCCAGAAATAGGACCTCGGGTTAAGAACTTTGCTTCAGGATGAGAACAGAAATCGTGCTCCGGCGGCGTGGCAGCAGAGGGAGGCCCCATTAGCTAAAGTGGTGCTTCAGGTTAAGAACAGTTTCAGGTTAAGAACAGACCTCCGGAACGAATTAAGTACTTAACCCGAGGTACCACTGTACAAGTTTACTTAGACATAGGCCACATGGAGTTCAGTAGGAGTCACATCCTAGGTATTTGTGTATAGAATTGTAGTCTTTTGTATTGTTTCAATGTTACTGTCAAGACTTGGAAATTATTTTTATTAAAATACTTGTAAATAATTGACAAAACAATTAAATAAAAGGTTTTTCTGTTACACTGGATAACAACTGTAA